GTGAAAATCCAAAAAGGGAAAAAGCTTAGATTTCTTGGGCGGGTTTTATTTTTTTTAAAAAGAAACCCTTTAAGTTAAAACCATTTCCCGAATTGGGCCCCTTTTCTCATGAATGACCCTTTACATTTTTTAAAGGGCAAATGTTTGAATGTGGTTGAAATTTTTTTTTTAAAAAGGTTTTCTTTGTTACTTATTTTTGATTTTTTTTTTATCTTTTAAAACCCAAAAATCCCGTGGACCCTTTTAAATAAAACCAAATTTTATAACCAAATTTTATTATGGCCTTCACCCTTTTTCAAAGACCTTGAAAAAATTGGGTGGTTGATATTTTTTTTGATTTTAAAAAAGTTTTTTTGCTCGAAATATTGTAAGAATAAGTTTGAGCTATTTTAGTCACCGTCAAGGGTTAAGGTGGAAACAGACACTTTCCGTGGGACTCACTAAATGTTCATTTAAACAAAGTTATTTTTAGTAATAATTGTTATTTATTTAAATCTTTGTGCATTAAAATGTCGTTGATCATCATAAAAAATAACATATTTGAAAAAAATGCCTTTGTAAAAATGATTGATTTTGAATAAAAATCCTAAAATTTTTAAAATCGTAAATATCCAAAGTCATTTTTTAATTTTTTTTGTCATCAAAACTTTTGGAAAATAACCATACTTATATTATCTAGGGAAACCGTGTCTCAAATTTTTTCTAATCTTTTCTCAAAAAAATATTACGTAACGTCAAACATTTTACTGCGACTTTTTTCACCATACATATTACGCAATTAAAGATATAATTAAGTTGCTATTGAGCAAACAAAAATCCCTGACACGGTTCCCTCCGTAAATGAAATTCCCTTTCATGTGCTTTAAACCGCCATGTTAATTGTTGATTATTAAAAAGTTATGCCGATTCAAAGTTAGTCCGACCCGCATCAAACGAAGTGTCATAAATCGGCTTTCTCTCTCGGACCCCTACGTTTCACCGCTAAATAATTGCATAATACACAAATATCGCGACCAGAAGAGGGTCACAAGTTGCCAGGGGTAACATACTCTAACAAATTTTTATGACCCATGACATCTGACCAATTAAAAAGCTGCTGATTAATATCAGTTTTATAGCCGAAATTTCTTCAATTCTTAACGTGATTTACTGTACGTCTGGTATTTGTCGCACATGTCACGTGACTTTGGTAAAATTTGAGGCATCAGTGGGGGAAATGGAACGCATTTTTGCGCCCCGCTAGCGGGGTATTTAATTGTTTCCTTTTTGAAGTTTATTATTATTATTCACAGCATTATTATTGTATTATACCAGTGTCACTCTGCCTGTGTATTCGTGTATGAAATTCCATTAAAAATATAAAATAAAATAACAAAAAACTAAGCTTCTGACAGTCTTTTAAAGTCCATGGTAGCATGTACAAATAAGAACGGGGATATTATATATTTTTTCCACGGAAATTGATAAATGCTTCACATATTTTAATAGAAATAAAAAGGTATTACCGATATTATGATCTGGCCCTTCCTTGACTTCTATTATGAATATCATCTATGCACGGCATAGAGATCCAGTTTCTTACCGGGTAGACAATAAATTTCATACTTTGTCCCAGATTTTATTAGTACTGTGTTCGATTTACTGGCCCGAAAACAATTTTATGTTTCACTGAATAATATTTTAATTTAATCTTTTTTGTTGTTTAGAGGGAAATAATCATCCTTAGACAATCTAAAAATGGTTTAGAAATTTGTCAGGGACACCTTACCAAAAGTCACATAGGCGTTCACAAAAAAAATCGTTGTCTGTTTTTGTTGTTGTTTTACTTGACATTGTTAGAAAACGAGGTTGAATGTAAAGTAAGCCCTTGAATCCGTACAAAAGTCTATCAACTCAACGTAATATCTATTAGATTAACGGGACAGACAAATTATTTTCACACATTATGGATATTTTCCGCTATGCTTAACTAAATTTAAACTTAAATTGGCCGACAATTTCTTAATTTATAAAAAAGGCTAAATGTTGAGATATTCATAAAAGATGTACGTTAGTTGTACGATACATGTATTATGAGAAGTATGGACCAGTATGGACCTGTAATTCACGGATATATGGGAACTACCGATTTCCCTCATTGATGCTCTCAACAGGGGGTGGAGCGTTATCGATAATCGACCAGGTTACGGCGAAATAGCAGATACAATAGTATAGGTTCCGTTTTAAAACGTTTAAAAACACATTTTTTGGACTAACTGCTTCCAAAATTAAATCACGAATGTGTTCAGAAAAGGTTGATAAATCCACTTAGCAAAAAATCTCATTTTAGGTATTTTCAGTGATAATTGACTCCGTTGTCACCTTAACCATTTATGTTAAAAGTCCATTGACATATGACTTTGAAACTTACACTTGTTCATCATCATGACCCTTACCTGTAGACAGGAGGAGGTAACTGTATCAAGCATTTTGACAGAATTATGCCCCTTTTTCGATTTTTCGAATTTACGTTAAAGTTTTTGTTATATGTCAAAAATATTTTCAAAGTCCATTGACTTAATTATAGCTTTTGAAACTTTGCACATTTGTTTACCATCATGACTCCAACCTGTTGACAGGTAGAGGTTAACTGTATCAAAATATTTTGACAGAATTATGCGCCTTTTTTGTGTCGCTTGAAAAGGCTGACATATAGGGGTTATAGCGGCGGCGTTCTTAGTCGGCGTCGTCAATGTCGTGTCGGCGTCCGCTAAAAGCTTGTCCGGAGCATAACTCAGTCACTATAAGTCTGATTGACTTCAAACTTGGTATGCATGCTTTCTTTCAATGACCCGAAGTGCAGTGCACAAGGACCGGTAACTCTGCAGTTCTTATTTTTTGAGTTATTGCCCTTTTGTTAATTTTCATACTTTAATTTTGTCCGGGGCCATTTCGAAGAAATTTCTTTCAACTAAAAAGCTATGGACTTGAAACTTCATAGGATGATAGATCTCATTAAGAAGAAATGCAGTGCCACAAGAACCAGTACTCTGCACTTCTAATTTTTGAGTTATTGCCCCTTTGTTAATTTTCATACTTTATTTTTGTCCAGGCCATTTCTCCTAATGTATAAAAGCCATGGACTTGAAACTTTTCATAGGATGATAGGTCTCATTAAGAAGAAAGTGCAGTGCACAAGAACTGGTACTCTGCATTTCTTATTTTTTGAGTTATTGCCCTTCGTTTATTTTCATACTTAATTTTTGTCCAGGCCATTTCTCTGAAAGTATAAAAATTATGGACTGTGAAACTTCATAGGATGATAGATCTCATTAAAAAGAAGTGCAGTGCATAAGAACTGATACTCAGCATTTCTTATTTTTGAGTTATTGCCCTTTGTTGCTTTTCTTACTTTATTTTTGTCTTGGGTCATTTTTCCTCAAGTAAACAAAACCAAAAAAAAGGGAAAGCCAAAAAAAAAAATGAAAGGGCGCCAAGAAAAAAAAAAAAAAATGGACTTGAAACATCATAGAATGATAGATCTTATTGATAAGAAGTGCAGTGTACAGAAACTGCTGCTCTGCACTTATTATTTTTTTAGTTATTGCCCTTTGTTATTTTTCATATTTCATTTTTTGTCCTGGCCCATTTCCCCTAAACTACATTGTTTACAAGGCGACACATCCGACTCGCTGAGTTCTAGTTTTTTTACTTAGAATGTCCGTTAAAGTTTTTTGTAATACCTCAAATATTTTCAAAGTCCATTGACATAATTATAAGCTTTGAAAACTTTGCACATTTTTTACCATCATGACCCCAAACCTGTAGACAGGAGAGGTAATCAAATATTTTGACAGAATTATATGCGCCTTTTTTTGACTTAGAATGTCCGTCGTTAAAGTTTTTGTAATACCTCAAATATTTTCAAAGTCCATTGACATATGGCTTTGAAACAAGTTGAAATTTTATACTCTTCTTTGAGAGCATAATAGACTCTCTCCAAGGCCTATAACTGTTAAATGGATTTAAAGAAAAATTTTACCCTTTTGTTTACTAAAGTAAAATTTTACATTTATCAAGGCTTTTTTACTATCAAGCACTAAGAAGAGTCGAGCGTTGCTGTAACCTACCCGCAGCTCTTGTATGCTATAATTTGGATTAATGTACAAATTTGATCTTGACCTTTATTTGACCTTGGTCAAATTATTGAAATTTACTGTTTATTTATGGATATCATTCATACTTGACAAAAGAACACACTTGACTAAATGGACATGTTGAATTATTTTGATATATGACTTTGAGCTTTGTTTGACCTTGACCATCAAGGTCATATTTTTAAAATTTGGTTAAATTGCCATTACCTTTTTACTTACAGATTTAATGAACCTTTTCAGTGTTTACAGTTTTATGTAAATTGGCTAACTTGTTATCCAATTGCTACACTGAGATAATACATAGTCACTGGTTGACCTGGTTTGCACAAAAGAACACATGGTTATGTTTGTGATACTGTTTGTGAGCAGTTAACCTAGCAATGAATGGAAAATATATGGCTAAATATTCCGCTACGAAAAACCGGAAAGGTCCATTAATACTTTGGACAAAAGAAAACATATTACAAAACCAATATGTTGAATTTTTTTATATGACCTTGGCCTTGAATTAACTTTGACCACCAATGTCATATTGTTGAATATTGCTTGACTTGTCATACTTAAAGATTTCTTTCAAAAGAACACATATGATAAAACAGACATGATTTTTTTCTGACCTTGATCTTTAATTCACCTGAACTGTCAAAGACATAATAAATTATATGAAATTTGAATTTTATTTGTTGTAGAAATATCATGTTTTGTGTAAATACTCTTTACAGTTTTTTTTGTGATATTTTAAACAAGATTGACACTGTATATTAATAACTTATATTGCAATTTATTTGTAAAAAACTTAAATCTAACATTAACATTAAAGATTTGATCAAAGCTTTTTGTAACTTTTAATCTAAACTGACATGTTTCTTTCTATTTAGCACCAACAACGTCTTCAACAGATGAATCATATTCTTATGATGAAGGTAAATTGTCATTTCAATTAATAGTCTTACACTTTATTTTTTTTTTGTACAAAGTTTTTTCTTTTCTTCCTATGTTGAAAATTCTGGTTGCTATGGCAACAAATAGACTGAAAATATGGCGAATTTTACACATAAACTGGATCCAGTGATAACTCAAAAAGTACTGAAAATATTTTTATGAAACTTGAAATATGGGTAGATGACAGTCTGGAAATTATGCACATCTTTTTATTTTCTTCCTACTTCTTCATTCCTTATAGGATTTACTTTAAAATCCCACATCGTAATAATATGACAAGGTTTATAAATCTAGAATCCATATTTCCAGAATTACCTCCTCCTTTGAATTTTTCTTATTCATTCTTTAACTTTCTCATCTCTTCATGGATTTTCTTCAAATCCAAAATAAACATTCATGATATCAACACCTACATTATATTTTTGTTTTAATTTTCATCTTTGTTACTTACTATACATAATAGTTAATGCTATATTTGAAAATTGTTTTTTTAGCTCACCTGTCACAAAGTGACAGGGTGAGCTTTTGTGATCGCTTTTCGTCCGGCGTCCGTCCGTCCGTCCGTCCGTCCGTCGTCCGTCCGTCCGTAAACTTTTACTTTAAATGACATCTCCTCATAAACCACTAAGCCAATTTCATCCAAACTTCACAGGAATGTTCCTTTGGTGGTCACCTTTAAAAATTGTTCAAAGAATTTAATTCCATGCAGAACTCTGGTTGCCATGGCAACCGAAAGAAAAAACTTTAAATACCTTCTTTTAAAAAACCATAAAAGCTAGAGCTTAGATATTTGGCATGAAACATCTTCTAGTGAGTGTCTACCAAGTTTGTTCAAATAAAAGCCCTGGGGTCAAAATTGGCCCCGCCCCGGGGGGTCATTGATTTTCCCTATATGCATATAGTAAAAACTTAAAAAATCTTCTTTTAAAGAACTCAAAGAGCTATGGCTAAGATATTGAGCATCAAACATGTTCTAATAGGTGTCTACCAAGTTTGTTCAAATAAAAGCCCTGGGGTCAAAATTGGCCCCGCCCCAGGGGGGTCATTGATTTTTCCTATATGCATATAGTAAAAACTTAAAAAATCTTCTTTTAAAGAACCAAAAGAGTTAGAGCTAAGATATTAAGCATGAAACATGTTCTAATAAGTGTCTACCAAGTTTGTTCAAATAAAAGCCCTGGGGTCAAAATTGGCCCCGCCCCGGGGGGTCATTGATTTTCCCTATATGCATATAGTAAAAACTTATAAAGTCTTCTTTTAAAGAACCCAAAGAGCTAGAGCTAAGATATTAAGCATGAAACATCTTCTAATAGGTGTCTATCAAGTTTGTTCAAATAAAAGCCCTGGGGTCAAAATTGGCCCCGCCCCAGGGGGTCATTGATTTTCCCTATATGCATATAATAAAAACTTAAAAATATTCTTTTAAAGAACCCAAATAGCTAAAGCTAAGATATTTAGCATGAAACATGTTCTAATGAGTGTCTACCAAGTTTGTTCAAATAAAAGCCCTAGGGTCAAAATTGGCCCCGCCCCGGGGGTCATTGATTTTCCCTATATGCATATAGTGAAAACTTATAAAAGCTTCTTTTAAAGAACCCAAAGAGCTAGAGCTAAGATATATAGCATGAAACATCTTCTAATAGGTGTCTATAAAGTTTGTTCAAATAAAAGCCCTTGGGTCAAAATTGGCCCCGCCCCAGGGATCATTGATTTTCCCTATTTGCATATAGTAAAAACTTATAAAATCTTCTTTTAAAGAACACAAAGAGCTAGAGCTAAGATATTTAGCATGAACCATGTTCTAATGGGTGTCTACCAAATTTGTTTAAATAAAAGCCCTTGGGTCAAAATTGGCCCTGCCCCGGGGATCATTGATTTTATTTATGTGTAAAGCAAAAACTTATAAAATCTTCTTTGAAAAAACCCAGATAGCTAGAGTTAAGATATTTAGCATGAAACATCTTCCAGTTAGTGTCTTCAAAGTTTGTTCAAATAAAGCGTTAGTGTCAAAATTGGTCCTGCCCTGGGGGACATTGATTTTCCTTATATGTGTATAGCAAAAACTTAAAAATCTTCTTTTAAATAAAACAGAATAGCTAGAGTTTAGATATCAAGCATGAGACATCTTCTAGTGAGTGTCTCCAAAGTTTGTTCAAATAAAAGCCCTGGGATCAAAACTGGCCCCGCCCTAGGGGTGTCATCGCTTTTAACTATATGTGTATAGTTAAAACTTAAAAAATCTTTTTTTAAAAAACTCAACGAGCTAGTCCTTAGCGTGTTTAGCGTGAAATATCTTCTAATGGGTGTCTACCAAGTTTGTTCAAATAAAAGCCCTGGGGTTTAAACTGGCCCCGCCCTGGTGGCCTATATACAGGTGAGCGACTTCAGGGCCATCATGGCCCTCTTGTTTTACTTATCTTCTTTGTGACTATAAATGGTATCTTTAAACTTAAAGTAAAACTCTTTATTTATCAATGTTCATAAATCTAGCATCGTTATTTCAAGAGTTATCTCCTCTTTAAGAATTTTGTATTTAAATATGTTATATTTTGGTAACACGGATGTTTAAAAAAATAACTTAAGAGTCTCCTTCAGTCTGTCTGTCTGTCTGTTCATAAAAACTGTTTCGACCTGATTTTTCCAACAAATTTACTTAAATTAGAGAAAAGTTGAAACATTAGTTATACTTATTCAACTTGAGAAAATTGGACCTTTTGATTATCTATTGTATAAACATAATTTCCAGACTAGGCAGGGAAACTTAACACATTACTATGTAAAAGACAAACTTAGAACTCAAAAGATTTAAGTTCATTTTTGTCATTCATTCACTGGTTAAATTGAATGGCCAATGGCCCGTCAGAATGTTGCTGGGGTTCTCACGTGTAGAGGACTTATAGATTGCTTGCAATACTATGATAATTGCTTGTTTCATATTATGATTACTATATACATTTTAGCATTTGTTAAAATTTATTAAAAAAAAATGCTTTGATAAACTTGTAATCGTTTGCTCATTTTGAAATAGAGTATTTAATAATTTTCACATTGAGTAATAAAGAAATGTGTCTCGTCATCGAGTAACAGGTGATCACCAATGCCTCTCAATTAGATCTATTTATCTATTTACAATAACATATAATCATTCAATAATTAAGTTACTTCTAAAAGGAGAAGATGCATATTTTGACATATGGCATATGGTTGAAATGATTCATTTTATATTAAATGTTGTATGATTGTGGTAGAGTGATACATGCATGCTCTATGAAGGTTTCAAAAGTGAAGATACTTCTGTATTATAATTATTACTACCTGTATTTTTATAATTAATGTTCTATGATCAGTTTGATGGGCTGTATGCACTTTTAAGTAACTATAAACTATGTATATTTGATGAATATATAATTGCCATTAATTGGTTTGATGAGTGATGTTGATAAAATATATTATTAGATGCTCATATACCAAAGTTTTCATGCTAAATATCCTATTAATTTTGTTTACACTTGCTCAATTATTAAAATAACAAAATCAGTAAGACTGCTTATAATAGTACAAAAGTACAAAATGTATATTCCTCGCCTTGGATTATGTTAATACATAAATACAAAATATATATTCTGCGCCTTTGCTTATGTTAATTTGTTCATTAGTCATAAAATTTACCTCGGTATAAATTTCTATGGAGTTTCTCTATGCATCAATGAATTATATTTAGATTACAAACTAGAAAATGTTTGAATATTTTATTAAAGCAGTGGCCCATTATATTGTGATTTGGCAGAGATTATATTTTAAAGGAGCTCCACAGAGGTAAAAAAGTCCCCCCCCCCCCCCCCAAAAAAAAAAAAATTCTTACGTAGATCAAGCATTTAAAATAAAAAAAAAATCTGCAAAGGAGAAGTTAAAAATATACTCAGAATTAAAGGCTCATTATGCCTTAGAAGTGCTTTTGTTTTTATTTCCTCAAAGCATTTTAGCTCATCAGAGTCGAAGACTCCGGGTGAGCTATGAGTATCAAAGGGGGATACTCCGGCGTCCTGCGTCAACAATTCTCTTCTACTCTGAAACTGCTGGGCAGATTTACCTTAAATTTGGTCTGTAGCATCCTTGTGACAGTCACACTTAAATTTGCTTATGTCATTTCAATTGGCTTTTTTTAGGGGTCAACAGAGCTAAAAATAGAAAAACCTTTAAACATCTTCTACTACAGATCTAAAAGATGCATGATCACCAAACTTTGTCTGTAGTATTCTTGGGTAGTCTTTTATCAAATTTGCTCATATTAATATGATTGGCCCCTTTAAGGGGTCTCTAGGGCTAAAAATAGAAAAACCTTTAGATATCTTCTTCTACAGAACTACTTGATGGATGATCCCAAAACTTTGTCTTAAGCATTCTTGGGTAGTCTTTTATCAAGTTTGCTCATATTAATTTGATTGGCCCCTTTTAGAGGCCACTATAGCTAAAAATAGAAATACCTTTAATTGTCTGCTTCTACAGAACAAATTGATTACCTTTGTCTGTTGCATTCTTTGGTAGTCTTTTATCAAGTGTGCTCATATTAATTTCATTGGCCCCTTTAAGGGGTCTCTAGAGCTAGAAAAAAGGGGGAAAACCTTAAGACATCTTCTTCTATAGAACTAATTGATGGATGATCACCAAACTTTGTCTGTAGCATTCTTGGGTAGTGTTTTATCAAGTTGGCTAAGATTAATTTCATTGGCCCCTTGTAGGGGTCCCTAAAGTTAAAAATAGAAATACCTTTAAATGTCTTTTTCTACAGCACTTATTGGTGGATGATCACCAAACTTTGTCTGTAGCATTCTAAGGTAGTCTATTATCAAGTGTGCTCATATTAATTTGATTGGCCCCTTTTAGGGGTCTCTAGGGCTAAAAATAGAAAAACCTTTAGACACCTTCTTCTACAGAACTAATTGATGGATAACCACCAATCTTTGTAGCATTCTTAGGTAATCTCTTATCAAGTTTGCTCATATTAATTTGATTGGCCCGTTTTAGTGGGCTCTAGAGCTAAAAATAGAAACACCTTTAAACATCTCCTTCTACAGAACTAATCGATGGCTGTACACCAAACATTGTCTATAGCATTCTTTAGCAGTCTTTTATCAAGTGTGCTCATATTTATTTGATTGGCCCCATTTAAGGGCCTCCAAAGCTAAAAATAGAAAAACCTTTGAACGTCATTTCCTATTGAAATCACCAAACTTTGTCTGTAGCATTCTTAGGTAGTCTTTTACAAGTTTGCTCATATTTATTTGATTGGCCCCTTTTAGGGGCAGCTAAAGCTAAAAATAGAAATACCTTTAAACGTCTCCTTCTATAGAAGTAATGGATCGATGATCACCAAATTTTGTCTGTAGCATTCTTAGGTACTCAAGTTTGTTCATATTAATTTGATTAGCCCCTTAACGGGGCCACTTAAGCTAAAAATAGAAAAAACCTTTGGCCATCATTTCATACTGAAATAATGTATAGATGATCACCAAGCTTTGTAGCATTCTTAAGCAGTCTTTTATCAAGTTTGCTCATATCAATTTGATTGGCCCTGTTTAAGCTAAAGCTTAAATGCACCAGGTCATGGCATTTCTTCAAATTATTGTTTAAACATATTCTATGCTCAAATTTAATATTAGAAAATATTGACAATGGACAATTTCCAACACTGTAAAACAATTGTTTCTGGTGAGTGACTAAGGGCCATCATGGCCCTCTTGTATTATTTAATTATGTGTAAGTAAACAATTCAGTATGTTATATTTTAGTATTTGAATATATTCCAGCGGTCACAATTTATTTTATTTTCCCTATATATTCAAAAAACTATATTAGCTTTGCTGCTCAGAGATATTAATGTTTGCTGTGTTGTCTTTATTGTTCATATATGCTGAATTTTGTGTTCTGTTTAAGCATTCTTTTGTTTGTTATTGAAGTCTGAAACTACATGTAATTATATGACTTACAATAATTTTCCTCAACTTTATGTATGCATATAGGCTAAGTCAGTTGTAAGATTTGCTTGAGATACTGATTTTACTTCTCACTCACTGTCCAGAGTCCATTGTTCATGTATGTTAGGTCATCCTTCAAATTAGTAATGAATTCTGTAAAGTGAATGCACATGTGGTCTATAAATAATTATATTAAAGCAGCATGCTTCCAGATTCGTACTTATTTTCATGAAAATATTGAAAATGTATTAGAAAATAAAATAATGTCCAGTGACTAAAGAAAGTTATTAACACATTGCAAACAGTGCCTTAAATCTATGAAAATTACCAGTATGAGGTCAATAGAATATGCAACGATAGCTCTTACTATGTTAGTCTTGCTGTAGTGGTAAAAATATTGCAAAATCATGTTAATTGCACATAACATGAAAATTTGCCTTGAATTGTGAATATTTTTGTGCCCCCACGTAAGTGGCGGGCATTTAGATTTACCCTTGTCCGTCCGTCCTTCTGTCCATCCGTCCGTTCACTTTTGTGTCACACATAACTCAAAAAGCATGAAACTTTACAGGAATGTTGATCAGCATGTGTAGTTGTGCACCTGGGTATTTTTGTCTGGATATTTTTAGTATTTTCAGAGTTATTGCCCTTGACTTTTTCAGAGTTATTACCCTTGACTTAGTAAAATTTTGCAATTTTCAACTTGTGTCGCATGTAACTCAAAAAGTATTTGCCTTAGAGTCATGAAAATTTACAGGAATGTTGATCAGCATGTGTTGTTGTGCACCTGGTTATTTTCGTCTGGATATTTTTAGTTTTTTCAGAGTTATTGCCCTTGACTTAGTAAAATTTTGCAATTTTCAACTTGTGTCGCATGTAACTCAAAAAGTATTTGACCTAGAGTCATGAAACTTTACAGGAATGTTGATCAGTATGTGTAGTTGTGCACCTGGGTATTTTCGTCTGGATATTTTTAGTATTTTCAGAGTTACTGCCCTTGACTTAGTAAAATTTTGCAATTTTCAACTTGTGTCACATGTAACTCAAAAAGTATTTGACCTAGAGTCATGAAACTTTACAAGAATGTTGATCAGCATGTGTAGTTGTGCACCTGGGTATTTTGGTGTGGATATTTTTAGTATTTCAGAGTTATTGCCCTTGACTTAGTAAAATTTTGCAATTTTCAACATGTGTCGCACGTAATTCAAAACGTATTTGACCTAGAGTCATGGAACTTTACAGGAATGTTGATCAGCATGTGTAGTTGTGCACCTGGGTATTTTCATGTGGATATTTTTAGTATTTTTAGAGTTATTGCCCTTGACTTAGTAAAATTTTGCAATTTTCAACATGTGTCGCATGTAACTCAAAAAGTATTTGACCTAGAGTCATGTAACTTTACAGGAATATTGATCAGCATGCGCTGTTGTGCACCAGGTATTTTCGTCTGGATTTATTTAGAATTTTTAGAGTTATTGCCCTTCACTTAGAAAATTTTTGCAATTTGCAAGTTACTCAAAAAGGATTTGACATAGTCATTAAACCTTATGGGCAGGTTGCTCAGCATATTTAGATTTGCACCTGGGGTTTTTGCTTGTGGATTTATCCAGTATTTGTAGAGTTATTTCCCTTGACCTAGGAAAAAGGTTGACAGAACAGTGGCGCGGTGGGGGCACCCGTGTCCTATGGACACATTTCTAGTTTACTTTTAAAACAGCACGCCTCCAGATTCACGCTAATTTTCATGAAAATTTTGAAAATTTATTTGAATGTATAATATTGTGAAATAACCAAAAGGAAGCAATTTGAACAGTATCAATGGCACTTACAACCTACATGTATTACCAAAAAGTTGTCAAAATATGCATAAATAGCCCTTAATGCGTTAGTCACGCAGTAGAAATATAGTTGTAAATATTGAAAACTCAGTCATTGACCACACATAACATGTAAAATATTACTTGAATCTTGAATCATTTTACATTTCCTGTAATCGTAGTACATATTTCTCAAGTTTGATTTTATTGAAATATTTTGGCTCACCTGGAGGCATGCAGCTTTAGGCTCACCTGAGTACAAAGTGGTCAAGGTGCGCTTTTGTTTCCACAATTTGTCCATTGTCTGACAGTGCATCCGTTGTTAACTTTTTAGCTCACCTGAGCTTGCTCAGGGTGAGCTTTTAGGATTGGTGAATGTCCGTCGTCCGTCGTACGTCCACAATTGCTTGTGAACACTCTAGCGGTCGCATTTTTGCTTCAATCATCATCAAACTTGGTCAGGATGCTTATCTAGTTGAAAGCTCGGATGAGTTCGAACATGGGTCATCTCGGATGAAAAACTAGGTCACAAGAGCTAAAAATAGAAAAACCTTGTGAACACTCTAGTGGTCACATTTTTGAACCAATCATCATCAAACTTGGTCAGAATGCTTGTCTAGTCAATTGCTTGGATGAGTTCGAACATGGGTCATCTCTGATGAAAAACTAGGTCACAGGAGCTTAAAATAGAAAAACCTTGTGAACACTCTAGTGGTCACATTTTTGACCCAATCATCATCAAACTTTGTCAGGATGCTTGTTTAGATAATAGCTCGGATGAGTTCAAATATGGGTCATCTCGGATGAAAAACTAGGCCACCGGAGCTATAAATAGAAAAATCTTGTTAACATTCTAGCGGTCACATTTTTGCATCAATCATCATCAAACTTGGTCAGGATGCGTATCTAGTTGATAGCTTGAATGAGTTTGAACATGGGTCATCTTGGATGAAAAAGTAGGTCACAGGAGCTATGAATAGAAAAACCTTGTGAACACTCTAGTGGTCACATTTTTGAACCAATCATCATCAAACTTGGTCAGAATGCTTTTCCAGTCAATTGCTTAAATGAGTTCGAACATGGGTCATCTCGAATGAAAAACTAGGTCACAGGAGCTAAAAATAGAAAAACCTTGTTAACACTCTAGTGGTCACAATTTTGACTCAATTGTCATCAAACTTGGTCAGGAAATTTGTCTAGGTCATTGCTGGGAATAAATCGAACATGGGACATCTCGGATGAAAAACTAGGTCACAGGGGCTAAAAATAGAAAAATCTTGTTAACACTCTAGTGGCTACTGTTGTGATCCAAATATTCTGTTAATTGGTCTGAAAATTTGTTTTGATGATTTCTAAGTCAAGATCGAACATGGGTCATCTTGGATGAAAAACTAGGTCACACTGCCCAAATATGGAAAAACCTTGTTAACATTCTAGTGGTCACATTTTCGACTCAATTATCATCAAACTTGGTCAGGATGCTTGTCTAGGTAATTGCTTGGATGAGTTCGCAATCGCATGTGAAACTAGGTCACCAGAGCTAAAAATAGAAAAATCTTGTTAACACTCTAGTTGCTACTGTTTTGATCCAAGTATCCTGGAAATTGGTCTGAAAGTTTGTTTTGATGATTTCTAGGTCAAGTTTGAATATGTGTCACCTGGGTAAAAAACTAGGTCGCACTGCTCAAATATGGATAATCCTTGTTAACACTGTAGTGGTCACATTTTTGACTCACCTGTCATGAGACTTGGTCAGAATGCTTGTCTAGGTAATTGCTTGGATGAGTTTGATAAGTCAGGTGAGCGATCTAGGGCCATCATGGCCCTCTTGTTTACATTCTGGTGGAGTACTCTGCAAAAATTGTTTAAATTAAATCCCTTGTTTCAGTGACAATAAGCCTGATGGCTATTTTCTTGTGTGGTTGTATCCACTGATTTAGCATTTGGCAGTTACTTGTAACATTATAAGTTAGTACTTGTTCACTCCAGTATTTTGTATGTGCCAATTTTTAAAGGATAATTATTTATGAACTATTTTAGCGAAATATAAATCATATGCTTCTGTATGTGAGACTGATTGGAAAACTTGTGTGATACTCTTATACTGATATATTCTTTATTGTCAGATTATTACACAGATTATGATGAGCAATTTAGAGATCCACCTCCATCTCCAAATCAAATGGGTAATATAGTAGAATATATACACAACTACCTGGTACATTTACCTTATTTAAGTGGGAAGTGCCATACACCATAAATTACGAGGGATGTTCGAAATGTATTGCTTATTTCTATCTGAAGTTTTCAAATTTCAAGTTAGCTCAAAATTGTTCATTTCATGCCCTCAAGTACTATCCACTTCTTGAAGGTGTCACGGTATGCTGATTTGGGCACAGTAATAAGGTACTGATGAATGGCAGATCCAAGTGCCTGTCGGGACTTGTATTCCGCCCAGCAAGGAATGATTTCAATTTTTGAAACAAAAAGAAATCACATGGGGCAAGGTCTCGAGAATATGGGGGGTGAGGCAAAACAGTTACTTTTTTTTTTCAAAATGCCGAAACTATTGCGGAGGTATGAGCGAGGTTATTGTCATGTAGAAGACGAATTGCTTAAAACTAGTGACAGGGCATTGTTTCTTATAATACTTTTTCAGTTTCTTAAGTACTATGTCTTAGTAGTACTTCCCAGAGATACTTTTGCCCTTTTTCACTGGCACTTTTATTGCGACTCCTTCACCAGAGAAGAAAATTGCATACAAAACCTTCTTTGCACTCAATGACTGTTTGGCAATTATTGGGCATTTGTTGAGTTTAGTGGCCCAGATTTTGTTGCTAACTTTTCTGACGGGCTCAAAATAATGGACCCAAGTTTCATCACCTGTGACGACATTGGCAAACTGTTTTTTGTCATATTTTGGAAACATTTGAAGCAGCTTTTTGGCCACCTTAACCTGTTGCCTCTTTTGCTCATTGGTCAACAGATGTGGTACCCATCTAGCAGAAATTTTTCTGACTTTCAAATGCTTCTTCAAAATAAAGTGAACCGTTGATAGTTATATGCCTATGGTGCATTTTTGGTGCATTTTTGATGCACTCTACACCAGACTCAAATTTCTTTTTCCATCGCCTCACTGTGTCATAAGATACACAAGAAGGCCCAAATGCAGTAGAGAGTTCAGTCATCAACTGCTTCAAAGAGCAACCCAGTTTTGAGTGTTCTTTGTTGTAAGCCCGTATTTTATCTTTTTTGTCCACGCTTCTACCAACCATTTTTACTACAGTGGTCAAGGTCTGTGTGTATTTAAATTGCAAGTTGTATGTCTTACACTTAGTCTAACATGTACATTTAAATTACACCTTTGTGTAGGTATTGAATTACCCTATACAGGTATGTATTGGTTTTTATCATGTCCCACGTGGATCACGAGATAGAGGACAATAAGCAATTCTTTTCGAACAGCCCTCGTATATATGAATCACTTTGTATTATTACTTTTTATTTTCAGTTCAACTGTAGGAGTGCTTATGTAACTGATACCTATTTCATATAATTACACTCTTTATTTTGTTCACCTAATTTAAGTGGGAAGAAGACAGGTGTCATACACCATATACATGTATAGGATTCACCTTGTATTATTATTCTTTATTTTCAGTTTAACTATTGGTGTGCTATTTTTATGCCCCCGGGCATATAGTTATTGAACCGTACGCCTGTCTGTCCGTCTGTCCGTACAAGGTTAACCTAGAACAGCAAGTTGGATTTTTCTTAAGTTCTACCTGTACCAATGGCTTCATAATTTACACACTTACTAATTCGTACAAAGTATATGATCTGGGCAAGTTACATACTATGGCTTCCATTTGCACCAAGTTATTGCCCTGGTTAACCTAAACCGGCAAGTTGGAAATATCTTATGTTCTATCTGAACTAATTGCTTAATAATTTCCACACTTACTTATCAATACAATGTACATGATATTGCCAAGTTATATAGATGTGCCATCCATTTTCCCAGTAATTTCCCTTTTTATCACTTTGAAAATAGGGCCTTGTATGGTTAACCTATTCCGCCAAGTTGGATTTATAAAAAAATTTCACCTAATTACTTAATTTTTATGCCACCGCAGCATCTGCGATGCGGTGGCATATAGCGATTCACCTGTGTGTATGTGTGTGTGTTTGTGTGTGTGTTATTTAGATTATATAGTGAACTTAAAAAATCTTCTTGTGAAAAACCACCAGTCCAATTTCAACCAAACTTGGCAGGATTGTTCCTTGGGTAAAGGGCTTACAAAGTTGTTCAAAGAATTTCATTCCATGCAGAAATCTGGTTGCCATGGCAACCAAAAGGGATTATAAGAATAAATTTAAAAAATCTTCTTGTAAAGACCCAAAAGGCCCAGAGTTTAGATATTTTTCATAAGGCATTGTCTGGTAGACCTCTAACAAGATTGTTCAAATTATAGCCCTGGGGTCAAAATTGGCCCCGCCCCAGGGGTTATTGATTTTCACTATGTACATATAGTAAAAACTTGAAATACCTTCTTGTAAAAACCCAAAAGGCCTAGAGATTAGATATTTTGCATAAGGCATCATCTGGTAGACCCTTACCAAGATTGTTCAAATTATAGCCCTTGGGTCAAAATCGGCCCCCGCCCCGGGGTCATTGATTTTCGCTATATGTACATATAGTAAAAACTTAAAACACCTTCTTGTAAAGACCCAAAAGGCTTAGAGCTTTAGATATTTTGCATAAGGCATTGTCTGATAGACCTCTACCCAGATTGTTTAAATTATAGCCCTGGGGTCAAAATCGGCCCGTCCCAGGTCATTGGTTTTCCTTATATGTATATAGTAAAAACTTAAAAAAAATTCTTCTAGCAATTGACAAATGCTAAAGGTTAGATATTTTGCATGAAACATTGTGTTGTAAAACTCTAGCAAGATTGTTCAATTATAGCCCTGGGGTCAAAATTGCCCCTGCCCTGGGGGTCATTGATTTCAATATATACATATAGTAAAAAATAAAAAAAATCTTTGTCTGAAGGTACAAGGCTTAGAGCTTTATATTTGTTAAATTATATCATCTAAAGGTACTCTACCAAAGTTGTTCAAATTTTGCCTCTTGTGTCAAAATTAGCCCCGCCCCTGGGAGCCATAGGTTTATCCTATATGTATATAGTTAAAACTTAAAAAATCATCTTCTGTAAATTTACAAAGGATAAAGTAAAGATATTTTGCATGAAACATTGTGTAGTGAACCTCTAGCATGATTGTTCAAATTATAGCCCTGGGGTCAAAATTGGTTCCGCAGGGGGTCATTGATTTTCATTATGTACATAATTTATTATAGTGAAAAAAAAAAATTTTGTCTGAAGGTTCAAGGCATAGAGCTTTGATGTTTGATATATAATATCATCTATAGGTCCTCTACCAAAGTTGTTCAAATGTCAAAAATTAGCCCTGCCGGGGGACAGTGATTCTCATTATGTACACGTAGTAAAAACAGAAAATAAAACAAATGTTTTCTGAATGGGAGAAAGCTATAGCATAGATATTTGACTTGAAATGTTGTTTGGTGGACCTGTATCAAGATTGTTATTAAACCCTTGGGTCAAAATTATGCCTTGCATAAGGGGACATTGACCTACTTTCTTGTCCTTTGATGTACATCAATGACATTTAAAAATTGAACTTTGACCTAGATTTTGATGATGCGACCTACTTTCTTGTCCTTTGGTGTACAGCTATGAAATTTGAACCATGCGGTGGCATAGCATTTTTCTCAAATGCAATCTTGTTTTAATGATATCTTTCATATTTGGTAGGTGGATACCTTTAACGGTATTCTAATTTTTTGTGGAGTCCGGCGTCTCTAGGTCAAGGTCATTTGTGTAAAAAAAAACAACTTAACATTTCTGCTCATACAGCCTTTATTTTTAAGTTAATGTCTTTCATGTTTATAATAGTCATACCAAGGGAGGTCAGGTCCTCTTCCTTTTCCTTTAGCAAGGGGTCATTTGGGTCAAGGTCACCAATGTCAGAAATAGATTTTTATGCTCCCCGAAAAATTTCGGGGGAGCATATAGTCGCCGCCTCGTCCGTCCGTTCGTCTGTCCGTCCGTCTGTTCGTCCATCCCCGTTTCTGGTCCGGGACATAACTTTGAAACAACAAGAGGTATCAACATGAAACTTTGTAGGTAGATAGATCTCATTGAGTAGGTGTGCAGTGCACAAGAACCGTAACTCTGCCTTGCCTAATTTTTGAATTATTCCCCTTTGTTTATTATTACACTTTGAACTTTGTCCGGGACATAACTCTAAAACTATAAGGGGTATCAACATGAAACCTTATAGGTAGATAGATCTCATTGAGTAGGTGTGCAGTGCACAAGAACCGTAACTCTGCCTTGCCTAATTTTTGAATTATCCCCCTTTGTTTATTTTACACTTTGAAATTTGTCCGGGACATAACTTCAAAGCTATAAGAGGTATCAACATGAAACTTTGTAGGTAGATAGATCTCATTGCGTAGGTGTGCAGTGCACAAGAACCGTAACTCTGCCTTGCCTAATTTTTGAATTATCCCCCTTTGTTTATTTTACACTTTGAAATTTGTCCAGGACATGACTCTAAAACTATAAGAGGTATCAACATGAAACTTTGTAGGTAGATAAATCTCATTGAGTAGGTGTGCAGTGCACAAGAACCGTAACTCTGCCTTGCCTAATTTTTGAATTATCCCCCTTTGTTTATTTTACACTTTGAACTTTGTCCGGGACATAACTCTAAAACTATAATAGGTATCAACATGAAACTTTGTAGGTAGATAGATCTCATTGAGTAGTTGTGCAGTGAACAAGAACCTTAACTCTGTATTGCCTAATTTTTTAATTATCCCCCTTTGTTTATTTTTACACTCATTGAGTAAGTTTTCAGTGCACAAGAACTGTAACACTGTCTTGCCTACTTAATTTTGGGGTTATTGCCCTTTGTTCATTTTGACACTTTGAACTTTGTCCGGGATATTACTCTAAAATTATAAGAGATATCAACATGAAACTTTTTTGATAGATATGTCTCATTGGGTGGAAGTGCAGTGCTTAAGAATCATTACTCTGCCTTGCCTTATTTTGAAGTAATTTCCCTTTGTTTATTTTTACCTTTTTGACTTTTGTCTGGGACATAACTTTAATACTATTTGAGATATCAACATGAAACTTTGTAGGTAGCTAGATATAATTGGATAGAACTGCAATGCTTAAAGAACCTAAACAAAGCCTGGTCTAATTTTGGAGTAACTGCCCTTTGTTCATTTTTACACTTTGAATTTTACCCGAGACATAACTATGATATCGTCAGGAAACTTAATAGATAGATAGATCTCATTGAATAGAAGTGCAGTGCAAAAAAACATAACTCCGCTTTGCCTAATTTTGGAGTTTTTGCCCTTTGTTCATTTTTTTATACTTTCCTGTAGGATGATAACTTACACTGTATTTCTCCTTTGGATGGAGTAAGAGGCCAGTTGGGTCAAGGTCACCAGTGCTAAAAATAGATTTTTACACTTTTGCCCATACAGCCTTTATATATTGACAGATTTTTTCATATTTAGTAGCAAAATAAGTTGCATGATATTCTTCCTTTGGATGGAGTTAGGGGTCAGTTGGGTCAAGGTCACCAGTTCTAAAAATAGAATTTTTACACTTTTGCCCATACAGCCTTTTTAGCTCGACTATTTGATAAGAATAAGTAGAGCTATTGCAGTCACCCAAGCGTCGGTGTCAGTGTCGGCGTCTGCGTCGGCGTAACCACTTATGTTAAAGTTTTTGTAATAGTTCAAATATTTTCAAAGTCCATTGACATATGGCTTTGAAACTTTGCACACTTGTTCACCATCATGACCCCAACCTGTAAACAGGAGAAGGTAACTCTATCAAGCATTTTGACAGAATTATGCCCCTTTTTCGACTTAGAATTTTTGTTAAAGTTTTTGTAATACCTTAAATATTTTCCAAGTCCATTGACATTATGGCTTTGAAACTTTGCACACTTTTTTACCATCATGACCCCAACTTGTAGACAGGAGGAGGTAACTCTATCAAGCATTTTGACAGAATTATGCCCCTTTTTCGACTTAGAATTTATGTTAAAGTTTTTGTAATACCTCACTCAAATATTTTCAAAGTTCATTGACATATGGCTTTGAAACTTTGCACACTTGTTCACCATCATTACCCCAACCTGTAAACAGGAGGAGGTAACTGTATCAAGCATTTTTTTTACTATCAAGCACTAAGAATAGTCGAGCGTTGCTGTCCTATCGACAGCTCTTGTTTTAAATATTGTTACTGATTAGAATCTGAGTCGGGGGCATTTGTGTTTAACAAACATGTTCTTGTTCTTAATTTAATGTTACAGGTAAATTCCAATGGATATTTGTATAAATTTCCTTGGGCAATGTGAATTATTTTATTTACCATTCATGTTAAGTAAATTATAGAATTGAAAGGAATTATGACCAGATGTAAACTGATTTTGATTTTGACTTCCAAGATACCTGCTTAAAAGAAATATGTTTTTATATTTCCGGAAAAGCAAATATGGGTCATGCATAAATAATTGCTGCACAGTTTAAATCCTACTAACTGACATTCTATGTAACAACTTTTTTGAGAATCAATCTAATTTCACTCTTAAAACATTTTATAGAAAAAATTCATTTAAAACATCCTTTAACCCTTTCCCCCATGAGCATTTTGTGAAAAATGGCCGTTTTCACTGAAATCCACATGTTACAAGTTCAAATTGCTATGAAACTATGAAAAATGCTTCAATACTAATCAAACTTGGCGCAAATGTTGACTGGACCATTGCCTTTGTAACGACATGCTCAGTCTTAAATTTCCTGTTACCATGGCAACAAGAAGACATCTCAAAATTGCCAAAAGTCACTATTTTGCCTCGATTTTTTCCATCAAAATTTATTTCAAAGTGCTGCAACTTCTCAAGGGATTGAGATAGAGTCAAAGGCTTTTCAGCGTTGGTTACACTTTACATTATGATCGACCTGGGGTCATTTTTAGCCTCTCACAAGTCCAAAATGTTCTTGGCGATGAGGGGGACTCTGCCCCCCTTCAAACCCCCCTAACAGAAGGAGGCACATCCCCCTTCTGGCAACCCCCTGATGTATCTTTTGGATGGGGGGCGGCGCGAAAAAGTGCTCATTTTTTTTAACAACATTTCTCAAACCAAAACATGTGTTTGTGGCCCAAATAGGACATTTTTTCACTATTTGAGGCCTAAATAAGGGGGGGGGGGTCGAAAGTGCATTGTTTCGCATATATATGAGGTAAAGGGTTAAACTATCAAAATTAAGAAATAAGAAGATCAAATGGTTCTTATGGTATGATTATTGAATAAAAATGTCTGCTATATCTATCTATTTTAAAGAACAGAGCTTGATCATTAATTTATGAACTATTGGTTTATCAATATTAAGACTAATAACAATTTTCCCCAGTTCAATGATGATTGGCCCCATTTCTTTAATCATTGTGGCATCATGTTCTTTCATTTTACTTCAAGAATGTTAAAATTAAAATTAAAATAATCTTGAAAAAGAGGAATTTTACCAATTAGTGGTATGCATTGAAATACTACATGTCTTTATTTTAATTAAAGGCCTTCATTTACTTATATATAAATTCAAATTTCTAGTTTTAGAAAATTAAGTAAGCCATTGTCAATAATATATAAGTCTCTGTTCTAAATAAGGAATAAACAAGTGTAAATTAAATAATTATCACTAATCTATAATTATTAGATCTTTTTAACCGAAAATTTCCTTATTCTATCTCAAAATTAAATGTTATTTTTAAAACGAATACCAAATGAATGCTAAAATATGCAAACCATAAACATTTGACAATCCAAATGAGTAAAGAAATGTTAAGTATAATGTGGGGCTAATCGTTAACTAAAGTTGGGTAAGTCATTATGGGGCGAATCGTTATACATTGTATAACCATTTAGATACATTGTATAACCATTTAGATTATGATATTAGCAGTGTTTGGGGAATATTCTTGTTTTTCAGCAGTTTAGTCTCTTGTAGGGATGATAGAGTCCTCATTCCTGTAGAGTTATATTACCTATATTAATAACTAACCTATGTTTATTATTTAGTTCAGGAAAAGAGGTGTTTAGTTTTTGAATTAATTATCTTGAAATCACTACAGGAAATTCAATGGTAAATTCTGTTTTCTTTCTCATCACTACCAAAGGTAATTAATCAGCCTTGTCTAATATTCATGTGAAAGGAGGTAGTTTTCTTCAATTCTAAAGATTTTATTACTTTGATAACCTTGAAGAATAACTCATGTGTGCAGTTTTATAAACATCCTTTTTCATTCTACAAAGGGAAGTTTATTTACTGAAAATTTGAAAAGAACATTACGCAATATGCCATATAATTTAGATTTGATACACCCAAGTTATTCTTCAGTAAAAGAAGAAAAAAAGAAAAAAAATGCATTTTTATTTCATTTCTTTTTATTTTTTTACAGATAATACGTTGGAGGACAATAATGCACCAAAACAAAATAGTAAGTTAATTATACACATACCACCAAGGCTACTAGTATATTAATCACTGCTTCTTAGTTTTACAACAGTTAGTATCACTTCAGACTTCAATTTTTTTGTTATTGCCCTTTGTTAATTTTCATACTTTATTTTTGTCCAGGCCATTTCTCCTAAAGTATAAAAGCTATAGTCTGTAAACTTCATAGGATGATAGATCTCATTAAGAAGAAGTGCAGTGCACAAGAACCGGTACTCTGCATTTCTTAGTTTTTGAGTTATTGCCCTTTGTTAATTTTCATACTTTATTTTTGTCCAGGCCATTTCTCCTAAAGTATAAACGCTATGGACATGAAACTTCATAATGATAGATCTTATTAAGAAAAATGCAGTGTACAAGATTTGGTACTCTGCACTTCTTTATTTTCTTTATTTTTGTCCTGGCCATAAATTCACCTAAACAATATTGTTCACAAGGCGACACATCCGACTCTCGTAGTTCTAGTTTTCGGTCATTTTAAGTTGAAATAAAAGAAAATAATTGCAATTTTATATTTATTTCAGATGAAGTTGTGGAGAATAAGAAACCAGAACAATCAAAACATAGTAAGTTAATATGTACAAATCACCAAGACTATATTTAAATCACTGCTTTATTATCCCCCACCGAAAGGCGGTGGGGGATATAGAAATAGTCTTCGTCTGTCTGTCTGACCTTCTGTCCATCCCTCCGTCTGTCCTTCCATCCGGCATTTTTGTCCGGAGCATATCTAAAAAAGTATTTGAGGTATCAACTTGAAACTTCATAAGTGGATAGATCATATTGAGTAGGAGTGCTGTGCACAAGAATGATAACTCTACTTTGCATAATTTGTGAGTTATTGCCCTTTGTTATTTTTCAAACTTAATTTTTGTCCAGAGCATAACTCAAAAAGTCTTTGAGATATGAACATGAAACTTTATAGGTGGATAGATCTCACTCAGGAGGTGTGCAGTGCACAAGAATGATAGCTCTTCTTTTCATAATTTATAAGTTATCGCCCTTTGTTATTTTTCATACTTAATTTTTCACCTGGTTGGAGCATTACTCAAAAAGTCTTTGAGATGTCAACATGAAACTTCATAGGTGGATAGATCTCATTGAGAAGGAATGCAGTGCACAAGAATGATAACTCTACTTTGCATAATTTTTGAGTTATTGCCCTTTGTTATTTTTCAAACTTAATTTTTGTCAAGAGCATTACTCAAAAAGCCTTTGAGATATCAATTTGAAACTTCATAGGTGAATAGATCTCACTCAGGAGGTGTGCAGTGCACAAGAATAATAACTCTACCCTTCATACTTTTTGAGTTATTGCCCTTTGTTTGCCCTTTTTTTTTTTTTCATACTTTATTATTTTTCATAGTGGAGCATAACTCAAAAGGTCTATGAGATGACAACATGAAACTTCATAGGTGGATAGATCTTATTGAGGAGGAATGCTGTGTGCAAGAATGATAACTCTTCCCTTTATAATTTTTGAATTATTGCTCTTTTTAGCTCACCTGTCACAAAGTGACAGGGTGAGCTTTTGTGATCACTTTTCGTCCGGCGTCCGTCCGTCCGGCGTCCGTCCGTAAACTTTTACTTTAAATGACATCTCCTCATAAACCAATAAGCCAATTTCATCCAAACTTAACAGGAATGTTCCTTTGGTGGTCACCTTTAAAAATTGTTCAAAGAATTTAATTCCATGCAGAACTCTGGTTGCCATGGCAACCGAAAGAAAAAACTTTAAATATCTTCTTCTAAAAAACCATAAGAGCTACAGCTTATATATTTGGCATGAAACATCTTCTAGTGAGTGTCTACCAAGTTTGTTCAAATAAAAGCCCTGGGGTCAAAATTGGCCCCGCCCCGAGGGGTCATTGAATTTCCCTAAATGCATATAGTAAAAACTTAAAAAATCTTCTTTTAAAGAACTCAAAGAGCTATGGCTAAGATATTGAGCATGAAACATGTTCTAATAGGTGTCTACCAAGTTTGTCCAAATAAAAGCCCTGGGGTCAAAATTGGCCCCGCCCCAGGGGGTCATTGATTTTCCCTATATGCATATAGTAAAAACTTAAAAAGTCTTCTTTTAAAGAACCAAAAGAGTTAGAGCTAAGATATTTAGCATGAAACATGTTCTAATAAGTGTCTACCAAATTTGTTCAAATAAAAGCCCTTGGGTTAAAATTGGCCCTGCCCCGGGGGGGTCATTGATTTTCCCTATATGCATATAGTAAAAACTTAAAAAATCTTCTTTTAAAGAACCAAAAGAGTTACAGCTAAGATATTTAGCATGAAACACGTTCAAATAAGTGTCTACCAAGTTTGTTCAAATAAAAGCCCTGGGGTCAAAATTGGCCCCGCCCCGAGGGGTCATGTGATTTTTCCCTATATGCATATTAGTAAAAAACTTAAAAAAACATTCTTTTTTAAAGAACTCAAAGAGCTATGGCTAAGATATGAGCATCAAACATGTTCTAATAGTGTCTACCAAGTTTGTTCAAATAAAAGCCCTGGGTCAAAATTGGCCCCGCCCCGGGGGTCATTGATTTTCCCTATATGCATATAGTAAAAACTAGAAAAGTCTTCTTTTAAAGAAACTCAAAGAGTATGGCTAAGATATTGAGCATGAAACATGTTCTAATAGGTGTCTACCAAGTTTGTTCAAATAAAAGACCTGGGGTCAAAATTGGCCCCGCCCCAGGGGGTCATTGATTTTCCCTATATGCATATAGTAAAAACTTAATAAATCTTCTTTTAAAGAACCAAAAGAGTTACAGCTAAGATATTTAGCATGAAACATGTTCTAATAAGTGTCTACCAAGTTTGTTCAAATAAAAGCCCTTGGGTTAAAATTGGCCCTGCCCCGGGGGGTCATTGATTTTCCCTATATGCATATAGTAAAAACTTAAAAAATCTTCTTTTAAAGAACCAAAAGAGTTACAGCCAAGATATTTAGCATGAAACACGTTCTAATAAGTGTCTACCAAGTTTGTTCAAATAAAAGCCCTGGGGTCAAAATTGGCCCCGCCCCGAGGGGTCATTGATTTTCCCTATATGCATATAGTAAAAACTTAAAAAACATTCTTTTAAAGAACTCAAAGAGCTATGGCTAAGATATTGAGCATCAAACATGTTCTAATAGGTGTCTACCAAGTTTGTTCAAATAAAAGCCCTGGGGTCAAAATTGGCCCCGCCCCAGGGGGTCATTGATTTTCCCTATATGCATTTAGTAAAAACTTAAAAAACATTCTTTTAAAGAACTCAAAGAGCTATGGCTAAGATATTGAGCATGAAACATGTTCTAATAGGTGTCTACCAAGTTTGTTCAAATAAAAGCCCTTGGGTCAAAATTGGCCCCGCCCCAGGGGGTCATTGATTTTCCCTATATGCATATAGTAAAAACTTAAAAAACATTCTTTTAAAGAACCAAAAGAGTTAGAGCTAAGATATTTAGCATGAAACATGTTCTAATAAGTGTCTACAAAGTTTGTTCAAATAAAAGCCCTAGAGTTAAAATTGGCTCTGCCCCGGGGGGGTCATTGATTTTCCCTATATGCATATAGTAAAAACTTAAAAAATCTTCTTTTAAAGAACCAAAAGAGTTAGAGCTAAGATATTTAGCATGAAACACGTTCTAATAAGTGTCTACCAAGTTTGTTCAAATAAAAGCCCTTGGGTCAAAATTGGCCCCGCCCCGGGGGTCATTGATTTTCCCTATATGCATATAGTTAAAACTTAAAAAGTCTTCTTTTAAAGAACTCAAAGAGCTATGGCTAAGATATTTAGCATCAAACATGTTCTAATAGGTGTCTACCAAGTTTGTTCAAATAAAAGCCCTGGGGTCAAAATTGGCACCGCCCCAGGGGTCATTGATTTTCCTTATGTGTATAGCAAAAACTTAAAAAGTCTTCTTTGAAAAAACCCAAATAGCTAGAGTTAAGATATTAAGCATGAAACATCTTTTAGTGAGTGTCTACAAAGTTTGTTCAAATAAAAGACCCGGGGTCAAAATTGGCCCCAGCCCGGGGGTCATTGATTTTCTTAATATGTGTATAGCAAAAACTTAAAATCTTCTTTGAAAAAACCCAAATAGCTAGAGTTTAGATATTAAGCATGAAACATCTTCTTGTAAGTGTCTTCAAAGTTTGTTCAAATAAAAGCCGTGGGGTCAAAACTGGCCCGGCCCCAGGGGTGTCATTGTTTTAAACTATATGTGTAAAGTAAAAACTTAAAAAAAATCTTCTTTTAAAAAGCCCAATGAACTAGAGCTTAGATGTTTAGCATGAAACATCTTCTTATTGGTGTCTACCAAGTTTTTGCAAATAAAAGCCCTTGGGTTAAATTGGCCCTGCAACGTTGGGGGAGATGGGTTGGGGGGGGGGGCCTATATACAGGTGAGCGAACTCAGGGCCATCATGGCCCTCTTGTTTATTTTTCATACTTTTTGTCCAGAGCTTATCTCAAAAAGTATTAGAGGTATCAACTTGAAACTTCGTAGGTGGATAGATCTCATTGAGGAGGAGTGCAGCACACAAGAATGATAGCCTACTGTGCATTATTTTTCAGTTATTGCCCTTTGTTATTTTCAGCTATCAGATTTCACATAGGTTTCAATAGCTTTTATCACTCCAGCCATAAGTTTTCATTACCAAAAGACCCCTTAAAATTGAACTATTCTGCTCTACTACATATATATTCTTCCAATGAGCAAACACATTCAGCAGGGGATGGCCATGATAACATGGCTCTTGTTGGTTTAACAACAGTAACTTAAGTTTTTAAGCCCCCAGGCATATTGTAATTGAACCGTCCGTCTGTACAAGTTTAACCTGTATCTGGGCAAGTAAATTGAGAAATTTTCTTCCTTTGGATGGAGTAAGGGGTAAGTTGGGTCAAGGTCACCAGTGCTAAAAATAGATTTTTACACTTTCTTTTCCTGAATTGACAAAGGCTAAAGGTTAGATATTTGGCATGGAACATTTTTGAAGTGGACCTCTACCAAGATTGTCTAAATTATATATTATATGGGATTAAAATTGTCCCGCCCAGGAGTCGGGCTTTTAGGTTTTCCTTATATGTTCATAGTAAAAACATAAAAAAATCTTCTCCTCTGAATTGATAAAGGCTAAAGGTTAGATATTTTGCTTGAAACATTGTGTAGTGGACCTATACCAAGATTGTTCAAATTATAGCCCTTGGTAAAAAATTCGCCCCGCTTCCTTTTATGTGTGTAGTAAAAACTTTTAAAAATCTCCTTGTTGGAAGGAACAAGGCTAATAGCTTAGATATTAGGCATACAATATCTATAGGTCCTCTACCAACATTGTTCAAATTTTGCTCCCAGTGTCATAATTAGTCCCTTTGGAGGGTCATAGGTATTCCTTATATTTATAGATAGTAAAAACGTTAAACAAAAATTTTCTCCCCTGAATTGACAAAGGCTAGATGTTCGGTATCTTGCATGAAACATTGTACAGTGGACCTCCACTGAGATTGTTCAAATTTAGCCCTGGGGTCAAAATTGGCCCGTCCCTGGTGGTCATAGGTTTTCATTATATGTATATAGTAAAAACTTCAAAAATATTTATCTGAAGTACTAGGCTTAGAGCTTAGATGTTTGGTGTATGATATCATCTGTAAGTCCTCTACCAAAGTTCTACAAATTTTGCCCCTCGTGTCAAACTTTGCTAGGCCCCAGGAGTCGTAGGATTTCCCTATATGTATAATTATAGTCAAAACTTAAAGAAACTTCATCTGAATTGACAAAGGCTAGAGGCTAGATATTTGGCATGAACATTGTGTAGTGGACCTCAATTAAGATTGTTCAGATTATAGCCCTGGCCCCGTGTTCACAAAGATTTAAGGATCAGGATCAAGATCAGGATCAAATTTAAAAACTCAAATATTCTCCTTTATTTATTATCATAAATTATATATTCAGTATTAAATTGATAAAACTGGACTTAAATAGCATATTAATGCAAGTTTAGAATAAATTTATTGTCATTTTATACAAGAAATGGGCATTTTACAGTTGATCCAAATTTTGATCTTGATCCTAAAATTGATCCTTATTTTGATCCGATTATTTTTGTATTTGTTTCGTAATTAGTTGATTTTATCCAATAATAAGTTGGTTTCTTTGCAAATAAGCAATTATTTACAATTCGAATGTGTACCATTTAATTCTAGCATAATACGATCAATTTTAGTTTTATAAAACAATGGAAATAAAATCAGGATCACCTGATCCTGATCCTGATCTTTTCTTTGTGAACACGGGGCCTGGGGTCAAAATTTGCCCCACTGGGGAGGGGGGATGGAAGATAAGTCATTAATTTTCATTTTGTACTTGTAGTAAAACTGAAAAATTCTTCTTTTCTAAAGGTACTTTGATATTTGTTATATAATATCATTTATAGGTCCTCTACCAAACTTGTTCTAAGTTTGGCCCGTACACAAATAAAGTCTGTCGTCAGGTTAGCCCTATGGGGTCAATGGCCTCCTTGTTTGAAAAATTTTTACTGACAAGAATATGAGTGGGGACATTAATGTGTTTAGCAAACACGTTCTTGTTTCAGACTGAGTTGCATAAATTTAGTTTTAAGGAATAGAAATCATATCATATTAATGAGTGCAGTAAAGTTATGTTCAAGTTGTTGTCAGTGTATTAGAATGTACTTTAGGGCTAAAAATCTTATTTTTAAGATACTGACATTAATTATTGGTACCCATGTTCACCATTAGCTTGAAATCATTCAACACAATCATTTCTGATGTCTAGCCTGAATGTTTGTATTCACAATAAAATGTATAACAAAGATAACTGCAAGTAAAGGCTTGTTTTTAGTTTATTAGCTCACCTGTCACAAAGTGACAGGGTGAGCTTTTGTGATCGCTTTTCGTCCGTCGTCCATCCATCCATCCTTCGTCCGTAAACTTTTACTTTAAATGACATCTCCTCATAAACCACTAAGCCAATTTCATCCAAACTTCACAGGAATGTACCTTTGGTGATCACCTTTGATACTTTGTTCAAAGAATTTAATTCCATGCAGAACTCTGGTTGCCATGGCAACCAAAAGAAAAAACTTTAAATACCTTCTTCTAAAAAGCACCAAGAGCTAGAGCTTAGATATTTGGCATGAAACATCTTCTAGTGAGTGTCTACCAAGTTTGTTCAAATAAAAGCCCTGGGGTCAAAATTGGCCCCGCCCCAGGAGGTCATTGATTTTCCCTATATGTATATAGTAAAAACTTAAAAAATCTTCTTTTAAAGAACCCAAAGAGCTATGGCTAAGATATTGAGCATCAAACATGTTCTAATAGGTGTCTACCAAGTTTGTTCAAATAAGAGCCCTGGGGTCAAAATTGGCCCCGCCCTGGGGGTTATTGATTTTCCTTATATGTGTATAGCAAAAACTTTAAATCATCTTCTTTCAAAAAAACCAAATAGCTAGAGTTTAGATACTAAACATGAAACATCTTCTAGTGAGTGTCTACAAAGTTTGTTCAAATAAAAGCCCTGGGGTTAAAATTGGCCCCGCCCCGGGGGATCATTCATTTTCCTTATATGTGTATTGCAAAAACTTTAAAACCTTCTTTGAAAAAACTTGAATAGCTAGAGATATTAAGCACGAAGCATTTTCTAGTAAGTGTCTACAAAGATTGTTCAAATAAAAGCCCTGGGGTCAAAACTGGCTATGCCCCAGGGTTGTCATTGTTTTTAACTATATTTGTAAAGAAAAAACTTAAAAAAATCTTCTTTTAAAAAACCCCACGAGCTAGACTTTAGATGTTTAGCATGAAACATCTTCTAATGGGTGTCTACCAAGTTTTTTCAAATGAAAGCCCTGGGGTTTAAACTGGGCCCGCTTCGGGGGCCTATATACAGGTAAGGGACTTCAGGGCCATCATGGCCCTCTTGTTATTATTTTTAAAGTTATGGAATCTTAGAAATATAGAAGTCAGAGATGGCTTCACACATGTATGTATTATGATCTTGTTGAATTTAATAAGTTGTTAGGTATAAGTTAATGAAATGGTTCATCTTGTTCTTACATTAACCACATTTAACAAATATAAATCTATACACTGACATCTGTTTCAAAGCATGTATTATGTGTCTGGTAATTGATAAATCAATTAGTTAGTTTTTCATCATAATCTTCGCTTGTCTATACATTCTAACTTAATCATGTGACACACAGCTTAAATCAATCTTGTTATGGGTGATATTTGTGTGTGACATACATTGTAACATTAGGTTTCTTAGCTATTATTTAAAAAAATATATACATTTCTTACATTTAATCAATAATGTACTGTTTTCAAATAGCAGATAGATAAAATAGTTTAATATGATACGATGCAATTGTTATATAAAAAAAATTAAATTTTTGTTTCAAGTAGGGCAATCAATTGTCAACAATATCAAACAGTGTAAATAGGGAAGTTAGCTATAGCATGTCACTGTATAGTTAAGTTACAACATGATTTATAATTAATCAAACATTACATTGATACTGCATTATCATTAACTGTCACTGGTAAAAATGTAACTGGATTTACCTTAAGTGGATTTCACTAGGCTGGATCTCATGAGGCAGTTTAACACTGAAAGTGATCTGTTCTAGTAAAATCCATGGGAACAGATAAAGATACTCCTATAATAACACTTTTATTTGTTGGTATTATAGATGCCAGCAAGTTCATGTCAGATCAACTCTTTGTATTTAGGGGGGATCATATTTGTGTAATTGATTATGATACATGCATTAAATGTTAAATAAATTTATGTACACGTAATAAAATATTATAATTACAGAGGAGGTAGCGAGTATGGGTCATGCCGTAGATGAGGATGAGAGTTCAGGAGGTCACTTCATGGCATATTTCCTTGTCTTTATTGTACTCTCTATTGCTGGCTATATTGTATTCCATAATAAACAAAAGGTGAGTATATTCTCTAAGTATCTGTCTTATTTATAACTACTCCTAATCAAATGTTTAGTTGATTTTTTGTTAAACTGTTATATATTATTATACCCCCGAAAAGAAGTTTGGGGGGTATAGAAGGGTCACCCAGTGGTCGGTGGGTCCAGCGGTCTGTTGCATTTGTCCGGAGCATAACTTGAAAACTAATGGTTGGAATTCAATATAACTTCATACAATGGTCAAGCACATTAAGAGAAAGAGCACAAGAACCATAACTCCATCTTAACTAAGCTAACTGAGTTATTGCCCTTTGTTACTTTTCCTTATCCGGAGCATAAAATTAAAACTAATGGTTGAAATTCAAAACAACTTCATACAATTGTCAAGCACAATAAGGGGAAGTGCAGTGCACAAGAACCATAACTCTATCTAAAGTAATTACAGAGTTATTGCCCTTTGTTACTTTTCCATTGCTTTCTTTTGTCCGGACCATAACTTGAAGACTAATAGTTGGAATTCAATATAACTTCATAAAATGGTCAAGCACATTGAGAAGAAGTGCAGTGCACAAGAACCATAACTCTATCTGAAGTTATTACAGAGTTATTGCCTGTTGTTACTTTTCCATTGCTTTCTTTTGTCCTGACCATGACTTGAAGACTAATAATTGGAATTCAATATAACTTCATAAAATGGTCAAGCACATTGAGAGGAAGTGCAGTGCACAAGAACCATAACTCCATCTTGACTAATTACAGAGTTACTGCCCTTTGTTACTTTTCCTTGTCTGCAGCATAACTTGATAAGAACTGGTTGGAATTCAAAACAACTTCATACTTTGGTCAAGCCCAATAAGGGGAAGTGCAGTGCACAAGGACCATAACTCCATCTTGACTAATTACAGAGTTATTGCCCTTTGTTACTTTTCAATTGCTTTTTTTGTCCGGAGCATAACTTCATACAATGGTCAAGCACATTGAGAGGAAGTGCAGTGCAGAAGTACCATAACTCCATCTTGACTAATTACAGAGTTATTGCCCTTTGTTACTTTTCATTGTCCGGAGCATAAGTTGAAAACTACTGTTTGGAATTCAATACAACTTCATACAATTGTCAAGCACATTAAGAGGAAGTGCAGTGCACAAGAACCATAACTCCATTTTGACAAATTACAGAGTTATTGCCCTTTTATGATACTTTTCCTTGTCCAGAGCATAACTTAAAACATACTGGTTGGAATTCAAAACAACTTCATACAATGGTCAAGCACAATAGGAGGAAGTGCAGTGCACAAAAACTATAACTCTGCCCCAAGTAATTATAGAGTTATTGCCCTTTGTTACTTTTCCATTTCTTTTTTCTTGTCCAGAGCATAACTTGAAAACTGCTAGTTGGAATTCAATACTATTTCATACAATGGTCAAGTATATTGAGAGGAAGGGCAGTGCATAGAACCATAACTCTTTCTTGACTCATTTAAAAGTTTTTGCCCTTTGTTACTTTTTATTGTCCAGTGCATAACTTGAAAATTAATGGAAGGAATTCAATGAAACTTCATACAATGGTCAAGGGCAGTGAGATGAAGTGCAGTGCACAAGGACCATAACTCCATTTGGACAAATCTTCAATATTTATAGAGTTATTGCCCTTTGTTCCTTTTCCTTGTCTTTCTGGACTTATTACAGAGTAATTCAATAAAACTTCATCAATAGCCACCGCATTTAAAGGAAATGCAACATAAAAGAACCACAACTATCTTTAATTGCCCACAACCATAACTCTATTTCAATTCTTTTACAAGGTATTCTGTTACTAGTAACATCCTCTTTTCCGAAGCAGTCTTGCAGGGGTATTAATCACATTTAGTGATAGTTCTAGTTTCTTCATTTATGTTCACCTACATAACATTTTTCATGTAACAATTGTGGTCTATGGTATTTGATAGTGATATGGATTATATGTAGATAAAGAAAGCTATGATCAAAAATTCATTGGCATCAGTGCTATACAATATACACTTAATTTATATTGTTTTGGTACAATTAAACAGGATGTTAGTTTATAAGGTTAGACATAATTTTTGTGCTTAAATAAGTTTAAGGGAAGAAGTCGGCATAATTATAAGGATAATGTAAGTTAATTTATTGGAAGTTCTTTCTGTCTTGACATTTACTTATCGTTTTATTCTCCATCTTCTTCTTTATCTTTGCTTTTCTTAGCAGTGCTCTTGTAGTTTTAATATTGGCATATTTACAAGCCTTGTTGCGGGTTTTATAAAAGTACTTGTAGTAGATATTTAAGAATGTAGCTTCTACTAAAGCTAAAATTATGTAGGCTTACATGATGAAAAAATCACATAAATAGGCAAAAAAGTGAAAACAATTATTATCCTATTGATGAAGGAAAATTCCTCACCAATAACAATACTATAATCATTTTTCCTGAAAAAAAAAACAACAACAACAACCTAACTATAAATGTAATAATAATTATGCATTGATATACATGTATACAATGTATGCTTGCATTTTTATAATCATTAACTTTGATTGACTTTACATTTGTTAACTTATTTTTTATCATGTCGTTATGCTTTTGTTTCAAGACTTTGGGATGGTCAGGCAGCTTCAGCTTATGTATACATGTATGAGGTTCATTTTTAGCTCGACTATACGAAGTATATGGAGAGCTGTCCTACTCGCCCCGGCTTCGGCATCCGCGTCCAGATTTCAGATTAAAGTTTTGGTGCAGTAAAATATTTTTCACTATAACTTTGTCATTTCTTAAGGTATCAACTTCAAACTTCAAATATATGTTCCTTATCATCATCCCCATCTTATGTGACAATGTTCATAACTCTAGCACCAATATTTTCAGATTTATCTCCCCTTGAACTTAAAATTTTCCTTAAAAAATACTATTTTTTACTGTTACTTCTTTATTTCTTAAATGATCAACCTCATACTTTAAATATATGTTCCTTATCATCATCCCCATCTTATGTGACAAGGTTCATAACTTTAGCACCAATATTTTCAGATTTATCTCCCCTTGAACTTAGAATTTTCCTTAATTTTTTTTATTTTTTACTGTAACTTATTTATTTCTAAAGGGATCAACTTCATACTTCAAATATATGTACCTTATCATCATCCACATCTTATATGACAAGGTTCATAACTCTAGCACCAATATTGCAAGAATTAACTCCCCATAAACTTAGATATTTTTACTAGAAAAATGTTATTTTTTACTATAACTTTTTTAGTTTAAAGGTATCTACCTCAAACTTCAAATACTTATTCCTTATCATCAATTACATTTTATGTGACAATGTTCATAACTCTTGAAGCAATTTTTACAGATTTATCTCTCTTTGAACTTAGGATTTTCTTTAAGAAATATTATAACTTCTTTACTTTTTAAGGTATCTACTTCAAACTTCAAATATATATTTCTTATCATTACACACATGTTGTGTGACAAGGTTCATAACTGTAGCGTGACTTTTTCTAGAATTATTTCCCTTGATCTTGGAATTTATGTTAACAAATGTTTTTTTTTTTACAATAACTTAATACTTAATTATACATAATTGATTTTTCTTTCATAGTTTTGTCCTCCTTACTGCGTACAGTATTTCATTAGTCGAGCTCGGCTGTCTCATGTGACAGCTCTTGTTGAAGAATGCATTTACAACTTTCTCTATGAACACCAAAATATGTAATGCCAGTTTTTCACAAGACATATAAAACATTTATTTCTGGGTACTAAGCAAGGGGAGCAGGTTGTACAATTTCCATGTCTGTTGTACATTGTACAGATGCAAAATTGAACTCTTGCCTCTCTGTATAAGAAACCAATGAAATTTTTTGTATTTCCTAATGGTTTTTAGGATAACTTATTTAAATCCATTTAAATCAGCATTCAATGTAATATATTCATGTATCAATACTTAAATCTAGTATTCAATGTTCTTTATTACATGCTTTTTGGTGGTTTATAGAAATATATCAGTGATATAAAACTGATAATTTCACTGTTTTGAATTTAAGCCTCTTACATTGTTTCAGTGAAATACCAGCTTGCACAGTACTGGGAACCAACTTAATGATGTGACATCGTAAATGACGTCACATATTATTATTTGGCGCGCTTTTTCGTTCAGTATTAGGTTTAATGTCTTTTTAAAACGTTTCTTTGCATATAATAAAAAGGAAATTTGTTTAGTTTAGTGTAAGATCAAAATATATTTCACCTTGTGAACACCAAAAGTTCATATTTCGCTCATGGCTGCGCCACTCTTGAAATATACTTTTGGTGCTCACTCGGTAAAATATATTCCGATCTTACACTGAACTAAACAAATATCCTCTATATATTCATGTAACATTACATAAATCTAGTATTCAATGTTCTATATTTATGTACCATTACATAAATCAGCGTTCAATGTAATATATTCATGTACCAATACTTAAATCAGCGTTCAATGTAATATATTCATGTACCAATACTTAAATCAGCGTTCAATGTAATATATTCATGTACCAATACTTAAATCTAGTATTCAGTGTTCTATATTCATGTACCAATACATAAATCAGCATTCAATTTAAATATTGGCTAGGCCTATGAAAACAAGACTTGGGGAAATCATAGTTTATTTGACATAATGTATGCACATGTCTTTTGTAAAAATGGGTTTCTGCCTTATTCAAACCATAATATGTTTATCTCGACATTTCGTTATCTCGATACTTTTAGGACGGTCCTGATGAATTCGAGATAACGAGAGTCGACTGTATACTGTATGAATGATAATCTTTTTGTATCATTATTCACTGTTGTCTTACATTTATCTTAACCTATTATTTAATTCCAATTTTCTGCTTTCAGATTTTTGCCATTATTATAGAGGGTAAGTCTGGGAAAGGGGGTCGAAGACCTAACACTAAAGATTACAAGCAGTTGAAGACCGATGATGTGATGCCATCACTCGAGAAATCAGCGTACAGCAAGGACTATGTTTTCTAACTTCCATTGGCAGAATAAACAAAAATCTCCACAGAAATCCATCCTGAACAATCATTTCTCGTTTCTCAAACAGTTTTATATCAAGAAGACGTAAAATATTCTCAGTATATGAGCATTCATCACATATAGAGATTTGTTGACCTGGTTTTTATATGTATACGATTTTATACAAATAGCACCTGTATTATTGGCTTTCATGTAACCAGTAACATTCAAGTATCCAGTTTTCTGTATAAATTTGTGGGAAAGTTTCAATTGGGACCTCTTATATAATAGTAGTAATATACAAATAGATATGCATATATATAAACAAATATGAATATAATTGATAATGATATAAGGTTTCTTAACATTCGTTTTAAACTTGCCATTTAAATGTCATGTTATATAGTAGATGTTTTTATGATGTTACTTCATACCTTGTGCTGTTTAATAGAAAGATGTTCAGATGAAGGAAATTTAAAATTATGGTTTTTAGGTTTATATTGCCTGCACAGATTGATAAGATATGTTTTTTGTTACCATTTAATCTATCACATTGTACAAGCTATCACTCTACATGCAATCTATTTTAAGTGTGATCAATTTCCTGCATTACGTGCTTTCATTAATATTCATTGTTTAGAAAACAGTCTTTACTTTTAGCATACAAAGGACAGTATTGTTTAAAATTCTCAATGTTGATAATTTATTTTATAGAATAAAACATACAAATGGTGAATAATGAATAGTGAATAGGTACAGAAAAGTTAGTTCAGTGTGTTTAAAGTATGTCATTATTGTTCTGCCCTTAATAAGCAGGTTAATGATTATTTTGTGCCATTTCTTTCTACTAGATTGTTAAACTGTACAGTAGAAGCATTAAACTGTCATTGGAGCATAATATTAAAAGTAAATATTGTATTGGCTGTTTCATATATGCAATCATCTAGCTTTTTCATTGTTTTTAGCATTCTGTGATAAATTATGATCTTTGTTTAATTCCATATTGTATTCTGTAGAATTATAAATATTTATAAGTCAATTATTTCACCTTTAACCTGCTGTAGTGAGGGACTCAACTGACGTTTTTTTTTGATGCAATAGGATTGGAAATATTTGCAATATTCATTTGAGGTTTAATTTCTGTTTACTATAACTTGAGTGCTAAATTTCAGATCTCACTCCTTAACCTCAGAATGATCAATTTTACTGTGCAAAATGACCAAATAAATAAAAAAAATGAGCCACGTCATGACAAAACCAACGTAATGCGTTTGCGACCAGCATGGATCCAGACCAGCCTAAGCATCCGCACAGTCTGATCAGGATCCATGCTGTTGGCTTACAAAACCCTATAACAAGTAGAGAAACTGATAGCAAACAGCAAGGATTCTGAACAGACTGTGCGGATGCGTAGGCTTGTCTGGATCCATGCTGGTTGCAAACCAATTATGTTGGTTTTGTCGTGACACAGCTCATATGTTAAAATGCTTTTAACTCGAATCTTGCTAAGAATTGCACTAAATGTTGATTTTCAATTTAATTCTTATTACATTTCTTTATTACCTTTTGCATGGCACTAATTGGTCTATGTAAAAATGTCATATTTTATATTTTTAGCTCGACTATTCGATAAGAATAAGTAGAGCTATTGTAGTCACCCGAGCGTCGGCGTCGGCGAACCCACTTATGTTAAAGTTTTTGTAATAGTTCAAATATTTTCAAAGTCCATTGACATATGGCTTTGAAACTTTGCACACTTGTTCACAATCATGACCCCAACCTGTAGACAGGAGGAGGTAACTCTATCAAGCATTTTTATACGCCCGTTTGAAAAACGGGACGTATTATGGGAACGCCCCTGGCGGGCGGGCGGTCGGGCGGCGTCCAATTTTGTCCGGAGCATATCTCCTACATGTATGGAGGGATTTTAATGAAACTTCATAGAAATGTTCACCACTATGAGGAGCAGTGTCGCACACATGAACCAGGTCTCTAGGTCAAAGGTCAAGGTCACACTTAGAGGTCATTGAAAAATGCTTGTCCGGAGCAAAACTTCCACATGTATAGAGGGATTTCAATATTACTTGGCACAAATGTTCACCATTGTGAGGCGGAGTGTCGCGTGCAAGATTCAGGTCCTTGCGGCCAAGGTCAAGGTCACACATAGAGGTCAAAGTTCAGATAAAAATATGAAGATGTGTATATGGACCATTTAGTCATCATTTATTGAGGGATTGTAACACAAATGGTCATTATCAAGACTATGGCTGTGATACATATAATTTAGGTCAATATATACAAGGTCAAGGTCACTATAGATGATGAAATATCCAGATTTTGTAAATAGAATTTAATCAAAGGGCAACAACAAAGTTATTACTTTGTTCATAAATGACTTACACAATTACTCCCCTTGATCTACTTTCACTTTCAATTCTAAAAATAGAATTTAATCAAAGGGCATAAAATAATCCTCTTTTCTTGGACTTGAGTATGTTCTAAAGAATGTAACATTTATTTACACATGTTTCATTCATTGGTCAAGATTCTTAACTGTGATAACTATGGTGTTCTGTAGCCTTGGTATTTGTTCAGAAAGATCATACAGTAATTACCTTATCAAATGTAAATACTTTCTCATAGAAATTTAATTATATTTTAATTTTCAAGTAAATATCAGTTCAGCTCATTCAAAGATTAAGAATTGTAATGAAATGTATTTCCCTAGAATAAAATCTTAAATCAGAATTTTTTAGTTATTAAATTACAATTACATGTACTTTTTATCTTCCCTACTGATTTGTTTTAAGGTTCATTTAACAACACAGTGCCAAGGATAAAAACTTGCTTGCTAGATAACACTTATCCATAATGCCCCCATCTGCATCTAAAGCTTTCGTAAACGGGCGTATTTTGTGACTATGGCACCCTTGTTCAACTTAGAATTTATGTTAAAGTTTTTGTAATACCTCAAATATTTTCAAAGTCCATTGACATATGGCTTTGAAACTTTGCACACTTGTTCACCATCATGACACCAACCTGTAGACAGGAGGAGGTAACTGTATCAAGCATTTTGACAGAATTATGCCCCTTTTTCGACTTAGAATTTACGTTAAAGTTTTTGTAATAGTTCAAATATTTTCAAAGTCCATTGACATATGGCTTTGAAACTTTGCACACTTGTTCACCATCATGACCCCAACCTGTAAACAGGAGTAGGTAAATGTATCAAGCATTATTTTTTACTATCAAGCACTAGAATAGTCGAGCGTTGCTGTCCTACCGACAGCTCTTGTTGGGCATTCTAATCTGAATGGAGTTCCTTAAAGATATGGTTTTTAACAACATTTAGGATGGCCATGTGTATATACTAATATTGGATATGATATGTAGGTGTTGACCACATATTACTTATTTATTGTTTACACATATGAGCCAGCAGTGTCTGTAATAATTGCACATTTGTGAATTTAGATTTTTTCTTGCATATTGTTTATTGCTTTCAAACATAAAGATAACGACTTGAGACTTAAAAGTAATTGTGATTTTACAGAATGACTGAGGATATTATAAATGAGAGATTGTGAGTAAACATGGTCTATTTACTTTCATATATGTAAATATTGTTGTGGCTTGAAATGTTTACCTTGCATGATGTTATCGTATTATTTGGGGAAGATTTGTATTCAATGGTACTTGAATGTCTTATTTTGGCTGTTTTAGATCACTAACTGTTGTTTAATGACCTCCGAGGATGACTATCGATAATTCACTTACTACTCAAGCTGACCACATGCCAATGACAGAAGATCTATTGTATTGAGTGGAATGGGGTTATTTGAGGCGATATGGTCACTGACTTGAAATTACTTACACTTACCTAATCATTAAATGATTGATCAAAAATGTTCTGCAGATGCCAGAAATTGTTATGTTGTAATATATAACTTAAGTTACAGTAAACTTCAAATTCAAGGGAAGTGTTCCAAGTTCGGCATTGAACTTTTGTTTATATGTTTTTTTATAGTTATCAGCAAGTATTTCAGGATAAGTAATAAAGTCAGTGTCAGCTTCTCTATACTAATTGTAGTAAAATTTTGCATTTATATTTCAAAATATAAAGTTCAATATTCATAATAGTCCTACTAGTGCAATTTTTATATCACATTGTAATATTAGTTCCTTTAAGGATTTATGGTTTGAACAAATGATTTATAACAAAGCTAAATTTGTGATTATGACATATGCGGCAAAGTGTCATATTCGACAAACTGTTGTATTTGACGAGATGTCTTTCGACAAAATGTTGTGCACCAAGTAAAGTGGAAGAGTAACTGATTAGTAAATTATGTTGTAACTGTCACTATTTTGTTATGAACAGATAAATGAAAGATAACATTTATAGAGTGGAGGTGTCTTATAACTTCCTAAAGTTTTTTTACATGCTTACTGATTTCACAACTTGTTTTGCTCAATTGATAAACAGTATCACTGTTGTTTGTTGCACTATTTTTGATACATGCAAAGTATATTTAAACATTCTCATCTTAATTTTATGTGTTTGTTTGTGTTTCTGAATGTTGGAAAATTGTATGTTTTGTTTTTTAATTAAGATTAGAAGACACTTAATCAGTGATGATATTCTGAAAATATTTTATCACAAATGAAAAATTGTTAAAATGGTGTAAAGCTATGTCTGGTGAAATATGCCAGAACAATATTTCTAAAATCTTAATTTTCTTCATGGTCATATTTTGAGATAGTTTCAGTTAAATATGTGGTCACATCTCAAGATAGTTTCAGTTAAATATGTGGTCATATCTCAAGATAGTTTCAGTTAAATATGTGGTCACATCTCAAGATAGTTTCAACAAAATATGTGGTCATATCTCAAGATAGTTTCAGTTAAATATGTGGTCATATCTCAAGATAGTTTCAACAAAATATGTGGTCACATCTCAAGATAGTTTCAGCCAAATATGAGGTCACATCTCAAGATAATTTCAGCCAAATATGTGGTCATATCTCAAGATAGTTTCAGTTAAATATGTGGTCATATCTCAAGATAGTTTCAACAAAATATGTGGTCATATCTCAAAATAGTTTCAACAAAATATGTGGTCATATCTCAAGAGAGTTTCAACAAAATATGTGGTCATATCTCAAGAGAGTTTCAACAAAATATGTGGTCATATCTCAAAATAGTTTCAACCAAATATGTGGTCATATCTCAAGATAGTTTCAACAAAATATGTGGTCATGCGGTCATATCTCAAGATAGTTTCAACAAAGTGTGATCAAATCTTGAGATATTTCTGACAAAATTTAACACATTTTTTTTATAAGGAAACAGAATTTTTTACCAAATATTCTATTGCTTGTTTTAGTTTTTAGTAGGTTTAGTAATTATTTTGCATTGTGCCACTGCATTCTTTTATTTTATAAACTTCTTCAAAATACAGACAATTTTTTTATTCTGCTGATAACAGTATTTGCTGATATCAGATAGCCCAGTATAGATAGCTCAGTTTAGTTTTATACCCTTTATAAGATTTTTTTTTTCAATTAACATTTAAATTGTTTCTGTTTTTTTTCTGCTGGGAAGTAATTAGTGATAAGATGAAATATGTAACAGAAATTTGTCATTTTAATACAGATTAGATTTTTGACAACTTTGTAGATACCTGATAAACACAAAGAAGGAAAATTATTTTGTAATTAAGTGGTACTAGAACCCTAAATAAATCAGAAATAAGTTTTGTGTTTGTTAATGGCTGTAATGTTTGCATACATGTAGTTATGATGTTTTTTTGATGTTTTTTGATTGTTTATGTTTAGTTTGCACAATTTTCTATTTCAATATGCTTTGGGTTAATTAAAAGTTGATTATGTAAATATTGGTTTGCATATCATTATGTAAATAAAGCGGCTGAAACTCAAACATGTTGTTCTTATGACCTATCATAAATACAAATGAGAAACAATAATTCACAGGCTATTCTACAATGGAGTTATGTACCTATTTACAAATGTACTTATATTGTGATGAATAATATGTTTTGTTGTAAATAGAATGCTCCCGAATACTGACATTAACATGGTATACATGACATCTGGTTGGATGGATGTTTCTTTAGAATCGGGGTTAGCAGTTCCATAACTAACTAGGCACCCAATTCTTCTCTGCATTATACAAACTGAGCATGGGTCAACTTGGACAAAATTGATATAAATAATAATAACATGCATTATTTTTGTTATTTTCTGTTCTGATGAGCTAAAAAATGGCATAATTTTGTCATAATTCAGGAGTTTTGCCTCTTGCCTAGAAGTAGGGATACTGGTTATAAACAAATATTCAAAATTTCAAAGCAAAACCTTGGAGGATATAGAAAAAGTGGGGTGATATTTATAACCAAGTGTTATGCAGACACTGATGCCCTGGTAAGCAGGATAGCTCTCCCACAATGCATAAATAATAATAGTTAAGCTAAAGACTTATTAAAGTTACAATTATTCATAATTTAGATGCAGTTGTTCCAAGATTTTTCTTTACTAGCTCCAATGTTCTTACATACAGACATAAAATTTTGACCAGGGGTGTAATTTCTGATGCTGAATAGAATTTTGATTGCAGTTGACCTACTTGTGATATTTTTGATATTTGACCAACTTTCTTGCTTTTTGATGCACAGACATGAAATTTGGACCAAGGGTGTAATTTATGATGCTGAATTAAATTTTGATATCAGTTGACCTTTTTTTGTTATCATTTGACCTACTTTGCTGGCCTATTTTTGATATTTTTTACAATGTTAGACCTATTGTCATTTTTTGACGTACTGTGTCGTACAGTTATGTTACCATATAGAATTTTTTTAAAAATTAGTTGTCCCAAACTGTAAACTTCAACGACTACACCTTACATATGTTGCATGTGACAATTTGTGTATTCATTTACAAAAGTTACAAAAAAAATTGTCCAATCAAAAAGGACCCTGTTATGTGGTCATTTATTCTACATAGTCTCATTCGAACACACTTGCAACATAGATAACAAACATTAACAAAGCATTTCCAAAATATTAGGACAAAATATTTCAATTTATATAGTGAGCAATGTAATGGTGGGTAAGATGAATGATCTAAGGCCATTTTGGCCCTATTGTTTATTATGAAGATGAAACGAAAAACAATCAGTGTTGTCATGGAGCTAAATATATATATCTGTGGTGTAACTAGAGGGGCAAGTTAAAGTTAAACTTTACTTGCCTTTCCGCAAGTTGACTTGAGAAATAATTTCTAACACTGAAAAATAGATGTTTCTGGTGAGTGACTCGGCCATCGTGGCCCTTTTGTTTACTTTTTATACCCATTGAGATCTTACTATGAAACTTTCACAATCCCCACTTTCAGATAGATTATTCCTCCGTTTATCAACTAAAGTTTGATTAACTTTTTGTACAAACCGCTTATTTTTATACCCTGTGAGGTATTGAACAAGACCATTATCCCTACTTCCAGACAAGAGGACATAACTCTGTCAAGAATCTTTACTAAATTATACTCAAATGATTTTTAAGTTACTTTTTAAGTGATAAAATCCTTTTTACATGTACACTTCAGTTGATACAACTGTTCAGCATAATATATGTCAAATATAAGTTTTGCCTTTCTATCTGAAAAGTAACATCGTTTTGTTGATCACATCTGCAATTATTTTAGAGTCAGACTTCATTGCAGGCAAGTTTCCTTTTACTATTTACTTTGACAAACATTATAAGATTTGCATGTACATGTGATAACAGCTGACTTATTCAGTAGACCTATCCTTTGAATATGTCGTGTGAATATGACATATTTATATGACCTTGTCAGATGCAAGATGATGATACAGAACGATATTAGAACGCAAATGCTTATTACTTGCATTGTACAGTAAACACTAGATCTAATGGAATGTCATGTAAATAAAGAAATAAATGAATGAAGAAGATGTATGCTGATGGATTCTAGATGTACCCTGGGTTAGGTTAGATGGTTACACAATGTAGCTCTAGGCCGGACTGATCTTTAGCTTTAAAGACGCTCTTAATATCTGTTTTGATTGTTATTGTCAAAATGTCAAAAAAAAGAAATCATTTTTTGTTCTGTTTAAATGTTATTTTTTTTAAACTATGTGAAAATACCCAGCTTGACACGTTGTATTATAGAAAATTATGAAGTAAAGGTTGTCTCCCTTTGTTATAAAAACTCCAAATATGATTGACAACGAAACCTAGACTGGGGGCAATGCAAATACCTTAAAGTTGTGGCAAATTAGATCTACTTGTTCCTGAAGAGGCCACGAGTCAAATTTGCGTGAATTTCATAAATAAGAAGTAAGTAGGTACCGGTATTCAAACCTGGCCTTATATTATGTTTTATTTTATTTCTCTTTGTCAGTTTGTGTGTTACAAGATAATATTTATTTATTTATAGTCGGTTCAATAATATGTGTTGCACGTGTGCGTGTGTGTAGCGTCTGTGTTTCGGGGAGGGGTTATAACTACCCCTCCCCCGTGGATCCGCGACTGAATTGCATGTACATCTCCAGTTTGTAGGCTACTGATGTAGATCTTTTGTTAAATTATAATGAAAACAGAATTATTTGATAAAACATGATGGATATAAGTCATATAAAATTAGATAGTTATTATATTGTTATTCATTGCTGTAAGTATTATTAAAAGTTAAATACAATCTATTTGCTACATACAAATTCATACTACAATGTACATCAATGTAGATGTTGGAACAGAACACAATAGAACAAATTTATACTTTAATAGATTTGTACATTGTACATCCTCTATCTAATACAATAATATTTACAAACATAACATCAATATAATGGTAATAGAAGTCATATTTTTCCCATTTCATAATTAAAATTTATTAAGTAACAAGAACATTCATTAATAAATGTATTTAATACGAAATAAAAAGTACAGACATACGAAAATGAGAATGGGCAATTATGATGTTTAACGCTCAACTTGTAACATTGTGTTTCTCAAAGTAAGGGCTTCTTTAACAAATTTGGATAACTGAATTAATTCATATTTAATATTTGTGTTCAATAATTGTAAAAATTTATAATTGACGGGTTTCTGACATATTTCATTTTTAAATATTGTGTTAAACCCAGCATTTGACCCTGCTCTGCATTATAACAACGGCATATACAAATATAAAATGGTATTCGTCTTTGAACAGTGCCTAGCTGAAGTATTACAGCATAAACAACACATTTCTTCTGAAATAATCATATTTCTAGAATATCTGCCTGTTTGTTCTCACAAAGACAAACTACTCATTCTTTATCTACAGAAATAAAATCTAAAACATATTTGCAAGATGTCCAAATAAGGTTCATACTTTAAACTGATTTTAACAGTTTTATACATATACAAATACAGTATTATTTTCTAAAGAAGCATGCTATTCCTGTTTAAAATAATCAATAATACGACATCTAAACTCATATTAAACTATATTTTTATCAATAGTATTAACATTATCAAACACATATGAAAATCCTTAATCATAACAGATACGTATGTAATTTAACAATTCAAATCTTTTGGAGTATTAATGTCTTTATCTAAGCTAACTGTCTAAGTGAACTGTTGGGCTACTTCTAGGGGAGGACAACAGTATAAGTCAAACCTGTTAATAAGCACTTGCTTAAAATGAAACACAGAATGAATTTTATTGTGTTAGTTATCGTGTTACTTGTTTCATTTATGAAACGAAACTAAAAGGAAAAGAAATAAAACAACAGTTACAACAAACAAGTGTAACAATATGACTTATGATTTCTGCTTAAACTCAAAATTTCACCATTTTCATCTTTAAATGGTGAATTCTGCGTAAGCCCGTATTTGGGGACATGGAAGGTAGCTTCAATGGCGCAAAACTGGTAATTTCCATTTTTTCTGTCAATTTGGTTTTCAATCATGATTCTCTTTAATCATCCAAAGTTTAAGGTAAATGTCTGTGCTAGTTTCAATTTTACTTCTTTAAATAAAATCTAAAATTTTCACATTTGGGACCTGCTACCATAAACTGATATTTATTTTATAATTTATTTCAAATTTATCCTCTGTAATAATTTTGTGTACGAATCCTGTAGTATATTTTTTCTTTTCTTTCTTTTATATTTGACCGTTCTCGGTCTCTTTTTAATTGTATTTATTTTAACAAGTAGTAAAATCATAACTCAAATGATTTATATAAAATGGGACATACTTTGCTTGTTTTGTTTTTTGTTTTGTTTTTTTTGTTTTGTATTAAAGTAATGGAGGAAATTCCTGTAATGCTAAGACAAGCTGTGACAGATGATGTGGGTTTCCTGCTCGACTTTATTAAAGCCGATGAATGGGATTATTCAGAGTATGATTACAATTGCTCCTTTGCAATCGATCCTGAATTCCTTGTAACTGCGGTGGACTGTTCCGGTATACCAGTCGGTAGGACAATTGCTGTTTGTAAAATCATCTGACGGTAAAATGATGTTCAGTTATTGAACAATCGCATTGTAAAAAGTAATAGAACATTATTATTATTATAAATATGTCAAATATAGATGATAAAAAAAACCAATCAACCTCTGCAAATACTCAATGGACCACACAGTATGGGAAATAATGTTGTCATTTGCATTTAAAGGTATTTGCATGACTTGCATCGCTGCCATTTATATTTTGAAGAAAGGCTTTCTTATATATGAAATTGATGTTCATTTATAGTTTTTATTATTATTACACAAAACAAAAATAATTCAGTGATTGATGGAAGCTAAGTTTTAAATATAACACCCCAAACATTCATAATGATAAGGTGACAACAAAAAATGTGAAATATGATGATATAGATACAATTGTATTATCAATATATATCAATAATGCTTGCGCTAGCAACATTGCGAAATGTAGTGACAAAATGATTGCTTAAAATGAGGATTAGTAGAATTTAAATTATGGTGTAATATAAGTTGGATAAATTTGATATAACACTACCGTGCTATATTTCTTATTGTTTCTATGTTGCAATATGGTAATTGATATTTTTTTTCAATTTTTCGGTTGTATTACAAGGGTTGCGCCATATGTAAATCTATCATGTACTAAAAGTATGGCGTATTTTTCCATTGTTTTTGGTTGTTTTACAAGGTTTCTGCCGTCTGTTATGCACTATAATTATTGCTTTTCTTTCCAGGTTTCGGGGGTATTACAAGGGTTACGCCATCTGTTATGTACTTAGATACATTAATAGTGAAAGATGATCTTCGGCACAAAGGAATTGGCAGTAAAATATGGAAGGCTGTACTTCAACGGGCCGGAGATACCAATGTTTGCCTTGATAGTGTTTATGAAAGTCTCCAGTGGTATAAGGAACAAGGATTTATGTATGAGACATTCAAATTGCATTCTTATTCTACTGTTGTTACTAGGGAAATGAAAGGTGCTTTTAAGTCCTCACCATATGATGTTAAGCCTTTGTCTGAGAATATGTGGCCTAGTGTTATGGAGTATGATAAACAAGTGTTTCTAGATGTAGACCGCGCGAAATATCTACGCCTATCTTGTTGTGGAGCTCAGGCATTTGTAGTCATACTTAATGGCAATATTGTAGGGTTAGGATTTATACATAAGAAATCTAATAAAAACTATGGTATAAGAAATTTGCTTGGAGACAACGAGGCTGTAGTTGAATCTATATTACAACACATGACAACACAAATACCCGATGGATCGGAAATAGTTTATTCATTGTTAGTCCAGTCATTCTAGCTCAAAATAGAGCCAAACCTCAAACAAATTGCAACAGAAAATATTTTGAGTGTTTTGAAACCCCAGACCTATATTGTATAACATATCAAAAGTCTAGAAAAATCTAAATTGGAGAATGTTTTCAAAAATTGAGATCAAATATATGGGTATCATTGTATTTATTTTTTTAATTTGAACTTAATGTAATACACCCATACAATTTTCCAATCAGTTTTATATATAATATGCTTAAAAATATAGCTTAATCTATCCCTAAAGTAACATAAAGTAATCAAAAAGTTGTTTTTGTTTAAAGAAACTACTTTTACCTTTCTAAAATTTATTAATTAACTTAAGTGGGTGGGGTAATATTATATTTTTACATTGCTGTAGATCAACAATTTATTGAAAGCTCTATGTTATATGATATTAAACAGAAAATACATAATGGTTTACGTACATGTGAAAACTGTCAAGTTTCAACGTTTTATGAATTTAATTTACATTCCATCAATATTTAATGCATATATTGAAATATTTATATTAACATTGTACAGCTAGTGGGTGGGGTAAATTTATACAAAATAAAGAAACATTAAGGAAATCTATATTATCTATGATAATAATATTGAGTTTTATATTAACTTGAATACTTTCAAGCACATCTGTTGTATTTTTTTCTGAGTCATTATATAACATCATGACATTGGGTCAAAAGAAGTGACAATGACCTTTTGGAAGGTCAATTTCAAATATTTGATACACAAGAGCATAAAATGTAAAAAAAAATATTTGCAAATTTTAATTTGTAAAATATCTTCGCTAAGCATAAGCACAAGAATGTCATGACTTTTACAAAGCGTCACTCGCTTCTGTAATTTCTGGTCGACCAATCTTTCACTTTTTATCACTAGATGGTAGCACCTGAAATTCCCTGGTATATCTTTTCCAGTTCTGAAATTAGAGGAGCATTAACATGTTTGATGGTAAAGAGCATCGACTACAAGCAAGTCGTGAACCTGTTCTATCCTTGCTCTCACTGTATCAGACAAACAGTCATTCCTCTGTATACATATTCAAAACAGTAGGTTCTAATGTCCTTACTGGCGAAACATCACACTTCCTTGTTTTACCCTTACTTATTAAAGATTGACCACAATATAAACAATCTTTTTTGTATGAAAACTTATCAGTCATTGATCTAAATGGTGGCATCAGTGTTTTCTTTTTCTGTCTTAGTGTCTATTTTAGTGTAATGTGGGTTACAGTACATCTTTCTACACCCAATGTGAATATATTATTCGGATTCAACTTCTAAACTGTCATTTTATTTCTCACTGGCAGCATTTATTCCCATGCATTCCTTTTCGTTGCCTTTAACTGTCTTTGTATGATCATCAAACAGCCGTTAACAAATCCGACAGGAATTCATCTTGAAAAAAAAACAACAATAACTGATATTGTAAGATTTATAAAATCTGTTTTTTACATTATAATTATGGAGGTTGATCCAGAATTACCCCAAATTTGTTTATAATTCTGATAACTTTTTATGTTTTCTTCATTAACTTTATAAATGCGCAAAGATCGATGTTTCTTCTATTTAATTGCCAAATATAATTGATTATAAACATCCAGTACCGTCTCAGGCCGCCTTAAATAACCCTGGATACACCACAGCAGCGCAACTCAAAGAACACGATGTTCGTTGAAATTTATAATACACCAAAGTGTCCGACACAAAAAGGGATCATGTCCAATATTTGCCGAAGGTTTATGTAAAGCCTGCTTAAATTTCACGTCGTTTGAACATTGTATTATTGTGTAATCATTTGTAATTGCAACGTTTATTTATGCAAAAACGTCTTCATTAAGGCGTCGGAAAACGGCACTTTCATAAACATTTGTCAACTGTTTAGACAGCCTACCATAGAAACATCTAATATGATAAAAGACATTCGACACAAGTATTTTGTTAGTTATGCATACAAAACTTTTTGAGGGGTAAAGAAGTTTTTTTACCAGACTGTTGGTAAATACATATCGTTTGCGGCATAGAAGAATACGCCTGAAGTTAACGTTCTCCGTCGCTGTGGCGATTGAAAAATACAAATATGAGCCGCGTCATGACAAAACCAACATAGTGGGTTTGCGACCAGCATGGATCCAGACCAGCAGGCGCATCCGCGCAGTCTGATGAGGATCCATGCTGTTCGCTTACAAACCGTATAACAAGTAGAGAAACTGATAGCGAACAGCATGGATCCTGATCAGACTGCGCGGGTGCACAGGCTGGTCTGGATCCATGCTGGTCGCAAACCCACTATGTTGGTTTTGTCATGACGCGGCTCATATGATGTCATATGCGGCCTTGCACAATTTCAATGCGATTTAAAAAAAATAATTATAAGTGACGATTATGTGCTGTTTTTCATACTTTATTTGTTTTCTTTTACATGCACTTTTTATCTAATTAAATTAAAAGAATCATATATTTTATGCCTTCAACTTTAAGATGATCATGTGTATGAATCACAGCAATCAAAGCAATTAGCAGTTCAATAGTCATAGGTTTAGGTTGTTAGTACACTTACAGTGAATGGCATCGGGAGGATTCCCTATGTATAAGAACAATAGAACATCAACCTTTTTTGCATAATGTGACAAATCCTATGTTGGCTTATATGGTAGGCATACTGTGTTTAATTATCATATTCTTGTTTCCTTGTAAAGAGGATATATTACGCAGTAATAAAGTGTTTGTTATATGAACTTTGAATAAATATTATTGAATTTATTGTTTAAATTACGGGTATTTCTGGATCATCCCTTGCATTCTTGTATTCTGGTTATTGGTAGCTGATTACGTATTGTTTCAGTTATCCCAGAACAGTATGTGTTATTATAAGATGTATTTTTCCTAAAAGGCTGTCCTTAAAATTGTTTAGGTGTATTTATTTGATCCAAATTGCTGATATGACACACTTTTCTTGCATATCAGACTGGCGATCCCGTTAGTATTACCCATGCCGGAAATTTCATCTGGCATAGGGGGTGCCAGATGAGTCGCGTGCTGTACAATGTCACGCTTAAGCCCCAGTCACATTAGAGCTTACGACCAGTGAAGACCAGTTCACAATCACCAGTGACCTCTGGTCGCGGACAATCTTTAAAACGTCTTACGACGGTCATCGGTGATCTTTGACAGTCGCAGGCTATCTTATTTAGGTCCCACTACCATTTCAGTCGTAGAGAGGTTTTTGAGCTTGCACAAAAACCTCCTTGGGATCAAACAGGTCGCTAGTGATCTTATAAGGTCTTAGGCTGTCGCACGATGGTCATTCAGAAGTGCGACAATCTTACGACAGTCTTTACAAATTGCCACTATTCACTGATAATCTTGAGTAGTCTTTAGTAATCGTGTGATGGTCGTACGACTAGTTGTAGGTGATCGCATGACAGGTCACGGGTAGTCGTAAGTAATCCCACACAATCTTGAGACCATCGTACGTTTGCTTATGACCTGTCGTGCGATTGTCAATGATGACTGGTGTTAAGATACTCGCAAAAGTAAATTTATCTGTTCAAAAATGGTTTTGGTCGCAGACAATCGCTGGTGATCGTCAGTTTTACAAGTCGCCGGTGGTCGCAAGTAATCTTAAGCTCTAGTGTGACTGGGGTTTCAGGATGACGTAATTTTACTGTTATGAATGAAGTTGTAATTTCATAAGCTGTTGTACGAAAATAGTTTCAGTTGTAATGGCATAAATTCCCATTGAAAATTAAGATAAAGAAATCAAAATATAATGTTATATCGTAAAATATGCAAGAAAAAATATTTGACATATGTTTGCGGTTCGGATCGGAATATCCGTCCCGAACCGCAACATATGACAGATATTATTATTATTTTCTAAGGTTTTAATCTAAAATTATAAATATAAAATACCTACTGGTAAAAGTGTTTGGAAGTAACGTAAAGATAAAGTTACATATTGAGTTTAAAAATGTCACCTTTCAATTTTAAGCATTTCTAATGCCCATCCGTGCATGCATTCAAAAATATTTGCACTGATATGTTACTATATGGAATTTATGACACACTTTAAAAGTTTGCTTATATGAGAAATATCATTAAAGTGATTTTGTGAAACAAATGTCTCAACTATGCATCTTTACCTTTTACTCGTATACATCACAGTGTCCTCAGAACACATGATCGGGCATACCCATTGGCTCTTGTGTGTTGATGAAATCTGTAACATAGAAATTACTTCAAGTTTGAAAGGATTAGAATCTTATTTTCATATTTACGTGAAATAAGGTTCTATAGAATACACAGATGTTTTATTGTTACATGTATTTGCTTAAATTTTGATTTTAAAAGTGATAAAATTATACTATAGTCAACTTAGGTGTGCATTCCGAAAGAAATACTAATATATATACTAATATATCGCTGTGAATTAATCTTATGCACTTTTTCAAAATCGCGCAGGTGCTATTGTATGCATAAAAAAAATTCTTTTAAATTATGGATCAACTGTGCATGTTTACCTTGAACTCATACACATCGCCAATCATGAACCATAACTAGAAATCACGTTTGTTTATTGATAAATTTTTCATGTCACCTCTTCATGTATAAATTTCTTCTATGTCTATTAAAAACTGAAAATAATTTCAGATATATTGAATTATGCATATGACGCTCTATTTCCTCCATGTTTAATATTCACTTAAACTAGTAAAAGATAATGTTTGATATTTGTGTTATATATTTAAAAATATTACAAATGTAAGCACAGGACAGGAAAGCAAACTTACTCATTTAGTGTACATATAGTTTACAGGATTTTTTTTATTTTCAAAATCAAGCATACATCAATGAAGACTACCTCAAAGCGGTACCCCTGAAATAATAATAACATTACATACATTATATATGTAAAACAATTTTAAAAAACTATTAAGAAATACAAAAAAAGCAACCTTGAATACACATTTAACAATGAAACATGATTAAATTATTCAGAATTTATTTAACGTACTTCGTCATAATTAAAGTGATAATGGCGTTCCATAGTTTAAAAATACTGTCGAAATTAACTTGTTATAAATACACAATTTAGGCCGTTTTTGAATGTTTACTTAGACAGGAGTTAATCAGAGTTGTAATTTATATAAATTAAACTGTTTTCCATGAAAAGTATAATACACATCGCTTGAAACACCTGTTGACCTTCAACGGATAAAGAACTGGTAAAACAAGTAACAATTTTCAACAAATACTCATAATAAACTTACGACCCCACATTAATAATTCCTATTATGATCTGTGATATTTTAAGGAAAATATACCAACCCACTTTACAGTGTACTTTACTGACATTTATTTTGTTAACACTTATTTTGTTGTTGTTGTCGCCATTATGCAGTCGCTATTCTGAGTATCAGAGACGCTTTGTTCGCCTATGGAAGACCGTTGTCGTCAGAAAAAAATCACAAAAAATAACGCGATAAAAACCCGTTTTTTTTCTATGTTGCGCAACTTAGATTTTTCTAGACTTTTGATATGATTCATGTTATTCCATATACTTTCTATACCAGGTAAAATATTTTCTGTTGCAATTTGTTTGAGGTCGATTTACAGACTGACTGGACTATGTTTGACAATAAGCGATTACCTAGCTGTTTAAATGCCAGTTGCAAGTTTCATGGCACGACCATACGTTTGTGTAATAAATCCATTCTAAAGATAAATCCTGAAAAGATATGGCTGCATAGTGTAAACAGTATTTAATAAATGAAAGTTATTATTTATCAGTCACTATTATAAGTTAATACCCATATAATTTGATGATTTAAATGTTTTTATCTTACAAACTTGTTCTATTAAATGCTCTACATTATGAACTAGTGATGTCTATAAATAGCCAATAGATGTCTATAAATAGCCAATATTTGACCTTGGCTTTATCATTTGCAAATAAAAACACTTAAGAAATGTATGTTTTACTTTATCTTTTATTTTAAAACGTTATAACGGAGTTATTTGGGTTGATTTAACACTATAAAAAGCGAAGAAGTTAAAGAATTCATAGAAAATGGAAAGGTAATTTTTCAGTCTTTTTAATGATTTTAATAGGTCAATTTTTGTCGTACACATACAGTGAAAATCGCCAATCGAATCTCAGTTACTAAAATACTTTAATAATAAGCTTTTTAATCTTCTACCCCGCCCCCTCCTTTAACGTGTTCAGCTGCAACACACCTTTTTGTGTCGCCTGCTACACAGAAGCGGCGATATATAGGGATCACTTCTATTCTGTCTATCCATCTGTCCGTCCGTTACAAAACTTGTCAGGACTTCTCCTCAAAACTACTGGTGCAATTTCATTAAAACTTGAATGAAACTTGACAGGATTTAATTGGTAGCTAAAGTACATGCGCACATTACACGAGTTTTCATTCTGAATACTTTTTAGCTGAATTATGGTCCTTGACGTGTGAATGATTTTTGTGTTGTCTGCTAAGCAGTAACTGATACATTCTAAAAAATAGCCACGTCTTACAAGGATCACTTCTTTGTCTGTATGTGCATCCAAACTTTAGTTAATATTTGTTTTGTGTTTCCTGCTATGCAGAAGCCACAGTATGCTACACAGTTGCCGTGACATACAGGGATCAAACTGGTCAACGACTTAATTGACTATCATCAGGGAACACTTGTGATCACTGATCGCTTTTGTTTATTGTTAAAGGTATATATATTAATTTAACCGGGGTCGTACTTCGCTTTCATGTAATTGCACTATGCGACCACTGAAGCTTTATAACCTCAAAATTACTCTATTTGCCATAAGTATGTCAATTGCTAAAATATGATAGTTACAATAAACACGGGAAGCAACTTTTAAGGAATTTACCTAACCAACATTTTGTTTAGCATAGTTACCAAAGACAATAGGCACAAGAATGGCACCAACTGTGACATTGCTGAGGAGCGTGAAATAAAGGGATGAGTGAAACAGAGTTCATATCATATATTTTTTCTTATCCTGTAGCAACATGGAGGCATTTCCTGTGACAATAAGACCGGCGATTCCAGGTGACGAAAAACATCTCGTAGTGTTCACAAAATCAGATGGGTGGGATTATTCAGAGTTTGATTTCAAAGCTGTTAAGTTTCTTGACCCTGATTTTCTCATTGTTGCAGCTGATCATTCGGATACACCAGTAGGTAATAAAAGTATTATTTCAAAAATACATTGTATGTGTTGTTATATAGTAAAAACGGTTTGAAATACTATTGTGCATAATTTATATGTAAGTGTTCGTCCGTGCTGTTATACAAAAATAGAAACTTCGATAGGAGCGACCGGAGTATGTTTCTAATTTCTGTAGAACAGCTACGGATGAGTACTAACATACAATGTACTTGGTGGCAAGATTTATTTCATTTTATTACGTCACTAAAAAAAGCTATTTTTACGAACGCGGTTTTATGATGCACTATGGAAACTAAAAGGCGACTATGGACGGAATTTTATATAGTATTGACTATTTTTCTTTGAAAATTAACACACATAATTTTTAAGAAATACAACATTTTCCTTGGATGACACTTATAAAGCTGGACACGACACTAATTAAGATTAAGAGTCGGTTTGCCATCAAGTAATGTCCATACATTCATTTTATTTTCCATTCTGCAGGTTTTCGGGTGTAACACATATCCTGACTAAAATGTTATTGCTTAATTAATGATATATGAGAACAAAGGTCAAAATGAAGGTCGACTCTTAAAGAACTCACCCCAACAAAATCTAGCATCACGGGACCAGTGATCCCGGCAAGGTGTCAGGTAGGGCACCAAACGAAACGGGAAAGGGGACAATAGCGAATCACGGACGAAGCTTCATTATTAACAATTCAATAAAAGCAACATAAACATTTAAGAGTTATTAATTAAAAGGCAAACACAGGGATAAGGGTGTATGGGGTGTACGGCGAGTGACGGGGTTGGCAGTATACACCTTTGATTATCATGTTACATGTATATTAATTGGAAATTTAATTTGTTCTAGGGTTTGGCGGAATTATTGATATGGGATCTAGCACATTGCACCTTGATGTCTTTATTGTAAGGGAAGACCTTCGACACAAAGGTATAGGCGGTAGGATTTGGAGGGACTTGCTCGAACGCGCTGGACAGAGAATTGTATGTCTTGATAGCCTGATAGGTAGCGTCAAATGGTATAGAAAACAAGGATTTAAATATGAATCGTTCAAGCTTCATGCCTATTGTACTATTATGACCAGTGATATGAATAACTCGATTCAATCTTCATACAATTTACAGCCAGTAACTGAGAGCACGTGGTCTTGTTTGTTGGACTATGATAAGCAAGTGTTTCTTAATTTAGACAGGGAGAAAAGTCTACGTGCTTGGTGTCGTGATGCTACAACAGTTGTAGCGTTTTCGGATAACATTGTAGTTGGCTATGGTTGTATACACAACAAATACGAGGGTGTTTATGGCCTACGAAATGTTTTTGGAGATAACGAGACTGTAGTTGAATCCATATTGCGATATTTGACAGCACAGCTGCAACATGGTTCTGAAGTGTATTTTACATTAATTGAGGGTAAACCCATCCCGAAGTTTATGGGAAAAAATTGCAGATTTCTCGGAACATCACAGCGAATGTTTAACCGATCGGTTGTTGCAGTAAATTGTGAGAAAATATGGATCCACAGTAGAAGTAAAACTTGAATCTAACTGCTTGAAATAACAAAGATAAACAAAGATTTCATATTATGTACAATTTTGATATTTTAGGTAATAGCTGTTAAAATAATTTACATGTATGCGGAAAAAAGAACCAGTAAGTGCATTCAAGTAGAAAATTTGTTCTAGGTAAAAAATATTATTGTTGAACGAAAATTTGCATCATTTGATTCATATACAGGGTGGTTGCATACTTGGTTCAAGCTGCAAAATTGACAAAATGGCGACCGAATCATGAAAGATTTAACGCCCACCCAAGTTCTGTTCAGGTAAGTGGTTTTGTTTGTTATTTTTGAAGATTTCGATGGTGTCCATTTATTAATGCAATGTATAGGACAAACGTTATCATATTTAAGTTTAAAGAGTTCATATTTGAGATTTGACATGTGATTTTGGTCGTTTTTCCACTCATTCATTTAAATCAGTAAACAAACAACATTACAAATTATATTTCTGCGGATACTATAAGATTTTGCAACCGAAATGCGCTTGATCAAGACATTTTTGTGTACTTGATCTTAAATTGGAGCATGCAAATTAAAACATTTGTACAGTATGCAAAGAAACACATTTTGCCTTGTTTAATGAACTTCAGTAAACGAGTAGAACACCGGCCAGATAAGTCACTTATCAAGTCTCAAAATATGAACAGGATCAGTTTATAAATATGATTTAAATAACTACGGCAAATCAGAATACAGGAAGCTGAAAACCTTAAACGGAATGTGTCAGATATATATCATTTATGAATGGACGTATTCAAAAATTTTCAAAATAACATAACAAACCCATTTTAACTCGGGGGTGGGGGGGGCAACAAAACAACAACAACAACAAAAACGAGCGGGCGTGAGTTGTAAATTTTTTATGACTTGGTCGCCATTTTGACAACTTTGCAACTATTTCGCTCGATTGAACCAACCATGCATCTATTTCATGTCCTGCCCAGTGATATACCTCTCATTAGAATTATTCGTAAACTAATATTGTTCAGGAGTTTCTGCGGATTGCCAAATAAATGATAATTTCCTAATCAATTTTGTTCTACCTTTTAAACAATTTATGTTAGTACTTGAGGTCTATAATTGATTCTAAATGAAATAAAAGGTAGTGTTTATTATAGAAAAAACTATATTCATTTATTTAAATGAGCCAATTAATTAATGCCTTAATTCAGTCTTGAAGTTATTTTAGTTTCTCATAAGATTTGTTAAATGAGTTAACATTTAAAATGAATGTTCTGGTAATTAATTAGAAGCTTAACTCAATCTGTCAACAATCAATGTTTACTATCTTACTGCTAGCCTACTGGTACAAACCTGGAAACCTATTTTTTAAATGAAATTATCAACAAAGTTAATTGATATTGTTTTTTTTTGATGGAATTAAATATTTGTACGTTTTAATGTTATAAATGGACTATTTTCCACTATCGACTTAAACAGTTTTTAATACTGAAAGTGTTTCCAAATTCGAACATCTCGGAGATCTTTAAACTTGTACTTTTTCAAATTTGAAATGTTTTACTTTTCGGTCTAACAAAATTGACGAACATCTTGAATACATTTCCACATGTGGAGGAGAATTAGCTTGGTATTATATAATGACATAATTATTATGCGGAAGTCACCATTTTATGCAGTTAGATGTTCGAGTTAGATGTTATCGAGTTTGTTTATTTATTGTTTTTTTAGGACAAAAAATACATCTTTTTGTCACTTTTAAGTGTCGTTTCTATCAGCATTTTTATTGCTATAATAACTTATATACGTATAAATGCTTTGGAATAAACTGCGATGAAATTTAACAATACTATTCAATTTATTTTACTAGAAACAAGGCAAACACTCCTACAAATTTTGAAAATTGACGAACCGGCGAAGGCGATATAATGCCTTTATAAATAATTTAGATAAACCCTCTGAAATAACACCCAAATCTAATAGTGTTAAAATTTCAGTACCTCATAAACTTGTTAAAATGGGTTAAGTCTAAATTAACTTTGTTCAACAGTTTATTGTTATCAACATGTGCGTAGGAATCAAACACCATAGCGTTTGTATTCTAATTGTAATTATTTAGAGAAACTATTTTGGGGATCTGAAATGATAACACAATACAGTTTGTATGAATTACTTCATTTTTATTATAGTTCAGATAAACTTTACCGACTTATAAAACAGGAAATTATCTACGTGCTACTTAAGTTGGAAATTTCAAAAATACAAATTCAGTATTTCACAAATAATATTTATGGATACATACATATTTCATTATTTTTTAAAGCGGTGACGTCAAAAACATATTATAATGTGAAATAATAGCCGCTGTGAGGAGACCAAACAAAACGTTTTTGTTGTTGTTGTTTTTTCTCTTAAAATTTTGTTTACCTCATGTATACATTATTGGTTAGATATTTTATTGATACTGTCAAAACACTTCGCGATTATATTTTATTATAAGAAAGCGTCTCTGGTGAATTGTTTCATTTTGCCACATAGGCGGGGCAATATGGTCCTTAATGAAGTAAAGCATTTTAAAATGACACCGGGAATGTTTAGAATTTATTTTTCCGTCTGTCCGGACATACAAGTATTAATATACTTAAGAGATTTTTTACCAGTAAGAAAATGTACATTTTAATAAGGACTATTGTAGGAGTCGAGCTCTATCGGTATACGTTAAGTTTCCCGCACTTTGGATGGTTACATGTGGGAAAGCTATCCAGCTAGCTTCGGGACGTCGTTGCCCGTTCGTGGCCTGATTATACACGGTGCGGTACTTGGGATCTTCCTCCACGAAGAAAGCTGGAAAGACGCCATAAGATCTTTCCAGTGTTCGTACGACGAAAAACAAGCCAAATAAACTCTATATAATCTCTCGAAACTGTAGTGAATGACGAATGACCTCGGTTATATTCCACGTCTTCAAACTAGTGAACTTGGTCGTTCCATACTGGATTGTTCGTTCATTTATCTTGATCTTTTAGAACAAGAAAAAGGAAGTATCAAATGAAAAAAAAAACAAAAAAAAACAACAACAACAAAAAAACACAAACACATTTTTCGTATTGAATTCTTAAGTGGATGGGAATGTCTTTTATAGACTGGTAACTGAACATTAATGTTATAAATGTCATGCAAATCTTTAACTGGGGATCTTTTCTATTTTGCACCAACTTGTAAGCAAACTGGAATTAGATCTTTACGTGATGAAGAGCAAGTGATTAAAAATCGGCCACGGAATACCCCTTAATCAAGCTTATTTAGTACAGGAAATATATCTCAAGCGCATAGCATCGTAATGTTTTCGACAGAACCCTTGCATTTTAGATACAATGTTATAGTTTAATTATTTGTGATAAGAACATTGTTTACACCTTAGCAGTGTAGCAGCATACTAGTTAATTGACAAATTCATACAAAAAGGTTTGAAAAACGCTTCGCTTCAGCAGCAATAATGAAATGCCCAATAAATAATCAGTAATATCCATATAACACTAGAATTGATGCAATTTTACACGTGCTTGTGATGTAAAAGTCCATAAATGATTCAAACAAATGTTAATATGTTACATTTATTTTGTTTTAACGTCATGTGATACGAAAACTTCATGAATAATTAACTTAAGCAGTGGAAATAACATTTTAATTCTGTTTTGTGGAAATGGAAAGTCTAATTCACCTTTTTTAACTGGATTAACTTTTTATTGGTAGAATAATGTTGGAATTCATGTATTTTTCATGAAACATATTTTTCGTATTTTCACTGGTGTCTTGCTGGACTACTTTCTTTTAATTTCAGTCAATACAAAAAATTAAAAGGGAATACTTTCTATTCATCAGGTTAAAAAAGAGAAAAGGTATACAATGAACAGAAAATTCAAGGTTTTTTTCTATTAATACAGGATTTATTTTCATCTTGTATGAAAATTATCATATTTCACTAGTGGCGGTAGTACATGTGTAACATATCCATATAACACTTCTATTCAATCATTTATGTCATATCCTCAAATTAAAGGTTACATAATCAATATTATATTTAATCGTATATTCCTCTTCTAACTGTCGGTATATGTATGAGAGTCATCCAACTAACCTAACAAATTATTTTTGTATTACGAATTGTATTGCAAATTACGAAACATTTTATTATTAATTGTAATAAAGTCCATAACAATTACATTCTAACTTTTTACAGAGTACTTTTAGGCTGTTTATAAGGTTTTTTGTAGTCTATATTTAATAACAACGGAAATAAAAGTAAAAGATAGTGTTTAATTTAGATAGACTATTTTTAATTATTTAAACGAACCAATTTATTAATGCCTTAAATCGTTCTAGAAGTAATTCTATTTTCTTCATACGTTTTGTTAAGTGAGTTAACAAGGGAATGTTCTGGTAATTAATTAGAAGCTTAACTCAAACTGCCAACAATTATTTTTACTATCTTAATGGTCCTGGTAAAAATTTATCGCGGTTCACACTTAAGAGTCAGTTTAAAAATTGTAGGTCGTTTTAAAAGGACATCACTAGTTCCGGTAAACAATCTCTTTACGAAAATCTCACCCCGTATACTATTTTAGATATGAAGAAGAAGTTTAGAAGTTTATTTCAATCAAAACCATTAGGCTTAAAAGCCCATGAGGCATACATATACGAAACTTTATGACGAACAGTTTATACATTTAACAAAAATTTCATTATAACAATATATCTTGCAAACATAATTTACTTTGGAGAAGTTTTTTTTCAACCTTATTCACCCTTACCAATTGTGTCATATTTCGAACTAAATTTCAGGTGACCACATTCCAGTTTTAAAGTCAACCTTTTAACGAAACGAAACATAAAGGTGAGTGACTGGAGTTCTTGACCAAAATACTATTTCTGTGTGATAAGACTATTGTGCTAGATATGAAAAAACATCTTAACACAATACATTATATAAAAACAGCACGATAAACTGATAATGCATTCTTTTAATTAAAACTTTACATGATTAAATGACATTATGTTCATACTTTTATAGTCAAGTTCAGCTGAATTGTCTTTATTTTTTAAAAGTTTGACTGTAGAAATGGTGTTTGACCAACAGTTGATATTGGAAAATGTTCAGGCTGTAATTTAAATCTGCCAAAAGAATAAAAAGACTGCCCCACTCTTTTAATAATCTGAAAGTTACAGGTAAATTCTAATGGATATTTACAGAACTTTTGCTTGGATCCTTGCATTATTTATTGTTTATGCAAAGTAAATTATTAAATTAAAAGGAATTATGTCAAAATAAAAACATATTTTGACTTTCACCTGTTCAATCGCTATCTATCCTTGGATAGGCAGAATGTCACTTTAACAATTTAGATAAATATTTGTAAAACATATACGTTATTTATAACAATTACCATATAATATTTCGTCACGTTTTTATAAATAGACAATATAACCAAACATTATTTTGTTAACTAGCTGAAAATATTTTTAATCATGGGAAATGGTTGATAATCGAGCATATAAAAATAGAAATATATTGTCGATACATTTTTTCAAACAGAGGTTCAAAACAAAGTTTATGTAGACTGTTTACTCCTATTTTCCAACCCATGAATATAATTTTAACGATCTTGCTAATTATCACAGCAGTGGACAATGAATGGACCTTGGGTATATAACACATGGTCAATAGATCAAGGCCGTTCCATTAAACTCTTCTGAACTCCACTGGATGACCTTTTCACAGAGGGTTGTTTTTCAAAAAGCTATTAAGATGTTTAGAATAATGAATAATCAGGCGCCTTCCTATTTATTGAATAATTTCATTTTATCATCAGATGTTCATACACGCATTTTGCGTTCATCATCTGATTTTCAACCTTACACCCCTAAACTAAATACTGAATAATTTCGTAAGTCTTTTGTATATTCTGGATCTTGTATTTGAAACGGCCTCTCTGATTATATCAAGTCTGCTATATCTGTGAACCATTTCAAAACCTTTTATTCGAGATATTATCAAACATCAATGTTTGCAAATTGACAATCTCCTGTATGTATTAACATTTATGTATTTAAATAGTTTGAATATGTTAAATTTATATTGTTCCTTGTTGAGGGCCTCATGGAAGATTGAAATGTTGTTCAAATGAGTTCTCTCGTTAAATTAAGTCTTTATTATAATTATTAAAACCAACAAAAACCCAACAAATTTCAAAAAAACAAAAACTTGATAAAACACAACAACAACTAAACAAAACTTACGAAAAGAAAACCACAGACACACGCATACGCACGCATGCGCGCGCACACACACACATTTCGTATTTAATTCATAAATGTCAGGAATTTCCTGTTTTAGACTGGTAACTGATCATTTATGAAATAAATGACATGCACAACATTAACTAGATGTTGTTTGACATTATGTCCCGCTCAAACATGTTTATAACGTGTAATTTTACTGTTTTAGGAAATGCTAATAGTGCATGTTTGTTTCCATTTTATTCACAGAACAAATGTAGTCTACACGCATGTTTGGCTCTTTAGTTATCATACATTATTACTCTTCAGTATTTGCAAAGATTATGACTTTTCTTTAAATAGTTACAGGTTGTTTTTATATCTTCGCGAAAGATTTTCTCTGCCACGAAGTAAGCCCTAACGCTATATTTTTATTGGATGTTGTACATACCTTTCTCTGAGACCTGGAGAATGTGAAAATAGCAAATTTGGTTTGATTGTGTCTCAGCTGGGTTTAAGTCTATAAGCAACTTGGATAGCTTCCTCGCAAGCCTCTGCTGGGATTCGGGATGGGGGCAAAATTAATGATTTCAACTCACAGTATTGTCATGCTTTAATTTTAGACACACTATTATAGGTTAATCAGCTGCGATAAGAACATTTTTTGCGGATAGTACATTTTCTTACTTATTTAAAGTGCAGCACAATACTTGTTAATTGGCAAATTCATAGAAAGGTTTGAAAAACGTTTCATCATCAATAATAAATGAATTGTATCAAGTTGTAAATCCAAAGCATCAATAAATTTTAAACATGCGGGAAAGGTTTATCAACTCTGTTCATTAACTACAGCAGTTATGTTGTAATCTAACACTTTTGTGTAAAAATGATTAAAACAAATGAAAGTTTGTTACATCCAGTTTTAACGTCATATGAAACGAAAACTTCATGAATAATTAACGTAAACAGTGGAAATAACATTTTAATTCAATTTGTAGAAATAAAACTTGCAAATAAACTTTCTTAACTGAATTAACCTTTATTGGTAAAATGTTGTCGCGATTCATGTTTGTAAGGATCTTACACCGGCTGCAAATACAGACTGGACTATCTAAATTTACCGTGGTAGTGAGACACTGCCGTTTATTTGCCAAACAGTTATCCGAGAACTAGATATTCTTGTCTGTGACGTCTGAGTCAGTGTTTGATTCTTTTTCTAGCAAAAATTATTGATTATAATAAGGAAAGAGATAAAGAAAATTAATTTTTCGTGTATCACATTTTTTTTATAGTAGCGTATGAATTTACAACTTCATTCATAATTGCAAAACGCACTTCCCACACGAAAGGCGCGCGGCATTGACGCCGTTTAGTACGCAAACTGCGAAATGTCTTATACGGGAGATAACGACAGGGTGTAAATAGCAGAAAATCTTATCTGTTTTGCAAGATTGTACTATCTTTGCAGACCTTCAGTACATTATACTTTTACACAAATGTTGTTGTATTCTTTATAGTCAGAGAGAGGAACCACTCTGTTGTTTGTTGTAATCTCCCAAACTAAACCTAGGACAATGCCATAACGAATTGCACAATAGACAAAATATATATCTCCAAACGATTTATAGGAAATCATTTCCTACTATGACATCGATCTTAGGATAGAATTGTGTTCTTTGTTACTCTCTAATCTCAAGTGAGATTATCACGGTGTGTTCACTATTTATCAATCTCCAA